ATAGGTGGAGACTAATCAAAAATATAAGGAAAGATTTTTGGGTACAATGAAAAAAGGAATGAGCAAATGAATAAATGGGAATGAAAGAATTTATATTATTATTGCAGTATGTGGCTATGGGTGGCACGATGGGTGGCTAAAGTAAAGGATTTACACAAGATACATTGTTAAAATTTGAAATTATGCTAGCCCTGAGCCAAAAAGACGAACTAGATCGTAATTATTGAGCTTTGTATTGAGCTGTCAATTTTCTAGCGCATAACCTAAAAATATAACGCAGTAAGACCTCAGCAATATATTTTGATCCTCTATGAGATGTGGAGATTGTTAGTACTTCTTGGAATTTTGTGATCTATTATAAAATGATCCATATTTTAAAATAATAACGACAGGTAATGGAGATGAGAATGGTTTGCGAAAGGCTTCATAGCTTTCATGGCTATGTAGTCTAGTGTTAGATAATATGCAATGTCAGTTATCGGAACTTAAAGAAACAATTAATTGTTTATGATGCAGTCTACGTCCAGAACCAAGCGCGGTATAACATGACAGAGAGCAAGAAGAAAAGAATAATAGAAGAAAATATAAAGAATTTATTAGATAATCAGAACAGCCTTGATAAACTAATTCAAAAAGAAACATCAGGTGTTCTTTCAACTAATAATTAATTAAAAAGAACAACCGAAGACGTTAACGCAAATTTTCGGAGTTGACAACATGACAGAAGGTCTTATTTTTAATTGATAAAATTGTTTATGATTACGAGACCGCTGCACTCCTTTGTCCAAGAAGCCGAAAAATTTGAGCAGTAATTATAAGTATAATGATTGATAATAATGACGGTAGGCTAAATACAAACATTCCTATGTAAAATCAAATTAAAATGGGAAATTTTAAAAATTCTGCAAAGTCTTACAGAGAATCTAGAAATTTCAAGAAAACGGTCAATCTATAGATTGGCAGAATTACCGAAAAGAAAAAGTACGCTGCGGAATTTTATTAACAACTGAAATTAATGAAAGGAGAAACAAAACAAAATATAATGCCAGAGTCGAGTTCCCCAACTATCAGATACCCGTTACTTAGCCAGTGCGAACGAGAAAATTTTAATTTCTTGGAATATCAATAGGGAATTGGGGAAAAAAATATAATAAACTTAAACAAATCGTAAAATTTTTTTAATTGGTCTCGACGTTCATACGGACAGACTCGGCTATTTTTCCTGATCAAGAATAAATATACTTTATATGACCGGAAACGCTTCTGCCTGTTACATACTTTTCAACGAATCTAGTACACCCTAAATCCCGAATCTTTCTACACCATATTCGTTAGTCTGAGATCACTATATAGACTCAGAATAGTTGTATACTTATACATGCGTGCATTGCTCCTAGAGTTTAGTAATACAGCGTTTCTATTTTCAACAGTTGGCCCTGAAATCCTGCGAATGATATTTTCTGTGAGATTCTGCCTCTAAAGCTAAATAAGCACCGAATTGTATCTTCAAATCAGTAGTCGACTCTAAAAGTTACTGGATAGAGTTGGAAAAGAAGAGCAGTTGGTTATTTTAAGGTTCCTGTGAATTCCAAAGTGCGACTGTATTGTACAGGCTCTCAAATTGAGTTGTTTGATTTGACTCAGCAAGGAGTTGTAATATTAATAATATATTTTATACGGAAATGTGCTGTGTAGCGGCGACTGAAGGCAATTTAGAATCGCCTGAAGGTATGCTTTGCTCGATAAATGATTCAAAGCCGAACTTCTTAGCTTTAGTAGTTATTAGTAAGCCTTGATCAATATCGAAATCATCTGTACCAGAGCAGCTCTGGAAAGCTTGGTTTCTGAACATGGCGCACTAAACAGCTGCCGGATATTTCCATCTATACCATCGAATCATTCGAATCAAAACTGCGCGGCAGACGTGCCACCAGCTGGCCACTGTCCCCAATCCCGACTGCAAAGGTCTAACAGTCGCCACCGCCGGCGCCGGCTAAGGAGAAACTACACTTTTGCAACACGCCAGCGATTGCGCTTCCTCGCGCTTATGGCTGTCAACAAACAAGATAGAGTGCTATAGTCGAGTATCCCGACTATCAGATACCCGTTACTCAGCCAGTGAAGTGCAAACGAGAAATTTCAAAATTTGTTTTTTTTTTACAGTGAAATTTAATAATTTTAAACTACTTGGCATCCCGAAGAAGGTGACTAAGGAATGTGGAATGACGCTAAGCTGTGCTCATTGGGGTGCGCGGTACTTTTTAATTTTTGCAACAAACACAACAGCGCCCACAAAAATTTAGTTTGAAAAATTATATGTAATTCACAGAAGAAGGCGTTTCCGACCATTAAAAATATATATGTTTTTGATAAGGATGAATAGCCGAGTCGATCTGGCGATGTCCGTGCGTCTGTCCGTATGAACACCTCAAACTCAGGAATTATAAAAGCTAGATGTTGAGATTAAGGAGGCAGCTTCCAGAGGCATATACGCGGCATTTAAAAATTAAAAAAATTATTTTTTTGTTATATATTTTATAAATTTCTATTGATTTGCCAAAAAAAAAATACGTTTTTCCACGCCCAATCTAACGCCCACAAGCTGCCTACACTTTTGAAAATTAAAGACATTTTTTTTGTCCAATTGCTACCGATACTCCAGAAAATGTTGAAATTTCTCGTTCGCACTTCCACTAACTGAGAAACGGGATAGTCGGGGAACTCGACTATAAAATTCTATTTTTTTTCAATTTATAGCAATATGCTAAAAAAAAAGGGATGTAAAGGGTATCTGATTGTCGAGGAACTCTACTGCAGCGTTATATCATGCTTTTTTTAATGTTTCCTTAAAAGAACCAAAAACAATTATCCCCGTCTATTTGCTTAGTTTCCCAGGAGGTCGTCTCCATACGAGTATATGGTGTGGGCCAAATCATCATTTAAGGCCGTTATGTGACTGATTGAGACAACCTTAGGCATTAGTTGGATCAGCATACATTTGTTCAAGATGGATCCCACACAATTTGTCAATCGCTCCAAAAACTCGATCGCCGTGCTTCAAAACCCGTCCATGACATCGTGCCAGGTGATGAATCGTGGATTTATGCGTATGTGACCACCTAAAGTAAGCAGCAGTCGACTGTATGGGTGTTTCAGGATGGATCAAATTCAACAAAAGTTGCATACGCACGAAGCACTTCCAAGCAAATGATCACCTGTTTGTTTCGAAAAAACAGGACATGTCGCAGTTGTACCACTAGACGCAGAACAATCAATTCTGAGGTGTGACCCTTCTTCTAGTTGTCTTCCAAGAAATCAGGAAAACCAACCGCCGAAGCGGGATCACTCTTCATCAGGACAGTGCGAGCTTCCATACATTGGCGCAAACCACTGCATTTTTGAGCACGCAAAACTTCTATTTGATGAGTCATTCGCTGTACAGTCCAGACATGGCACCGAATGACTACTTTTTATTCCGGTACGTAAAAGAAAAAAATGAGAGGTCAACGTTTTTCGACCTCAAGAAGCGAGTAATGCTTTCAGTATGCATGATTTGGAGATAGCTCTATCAGAGTGGCAAAAGTGTTTCGATACAAGGCTCAAGCGCATGTAAAAGCTTAAAGTTATAAATCATATTCTTAATGGAATATTTTGAAATATAATAAAGCGAATATCAATGATTAATATTTATTTTTGTTCCCTATTCCCGAAATATAACCCTTCGTAATACTTAACATATATAGACTCCATAAAAAACCAAATAAAGTAAAAAATATATTAACTAAGATATAACGTATATAACGTATTCATTTGACAAACTTTCGGATACCATGAAATTTTTCTACTTTATTTTACGTTTTACAATTTAAGTTTATTTATTTTTTTACATCTTATCTGTACTGAGTACCTGGGTGACCAGCTCAACTCTTCTACTCTTCTACCTGATCAAATATATATACTTCTTACCGAATCTTGTATACCCTTTGCTCTACGAGTGTCGGGTATAATATGAGACCTATTATAAAATAAAGTCCATTATCGTAATACTGTCTATGTTATCCTTATGCAATACTTAAAAAAATATGAGAATAAAAAGGGGTTTTGATGACAAAACAAGAGAAAACCCTATAGTCAAGTTCCCCGACTATCAAATAACCGTTACTCAGCTTGTGGAAGTGCAAAAGTAAAATTTAAACATTTTTCAGGAATCAAAAATATTAAAATTAAAAAAAAAAACAGTTTTAGTCGGTTTGTGGACGTTAGATTTGGAGTGGCCACATTTGGAAACAAACTTGCGATGTGTCTATGTCTATGGATGCCTAACCCCAACATTCGAGATGTTATATTTCCTGAGATCGAGGTGCTTATACGAACAGAAGGACATGGCTAGATCGACTCGGCTAAAGATCGTGATCAAGAATATATGTATATACTTTATATAAATACTTTATATATATAAACTCTACTTTCCACCTGTCACATACTTTTTAACGAACCTACCACTTTACTCTACGGGTATATTAGCTAATTAATACTTTTAAAAAAATTTACTTGTTGCGGAAATCCCAGAACTAAGTAAAAAAATATTTTTAGTTTTAAAGAAAAGTTTTTATATAGTTTTTTTAATTAGTTTTTTTTTTATTTTAAATTAATCGTATAAAATGTAGAATTAATACTTATAGGGGGATAAGAGACAACAGAAACCAGTTTACTTATTATGTAAACTTATTCTACATATAGTTTTTTGATTATTTTAATCTATTATATATTTTATAGATAGCATAATTGAGTGGTTTTCTTAACCGTATGCAAATTTATTAACATGGCGTTATGCATTAATTATGAGTTCATTATTTTCCATTTGTCAATTTACGAATTTCATATACATATACCTGTTATATTTTTATATTTATTGACTAGAATCTTAATTGTACCTAAATACAGGTAATTAATTGCGTTCTTTTGAAAACTTTGGACATCCGGAAATTTTTTGATATTTCCAGGATTAATTTATATATATATACCTGTTCCTGTAATTTCGGGGTTGCTTTTATTCAAACAATATTAACGGCTGTACTATTTATTTACAATTTAGTAGGCAAAGGTTACTTCCCAATGTTTTGGTATATTGTACAGCTAATTTACACTTAAATGCTAATAAGAAAGGCACTTGATATTAAAAGTAAAACTTTAAAACAAACAGCACGACTAAATAAAACATATTTACAAATATTTTATTGATATTAAACTGGAGTTTGAATGCAACTATACAGGAGCATACTATGGTACTCGTGTATGCTCCTAACTTATTATACAAAGATTACCCTCTTTATGTAATTCTATATTCAGGTTTTCCTACTGCGCAGGGCCTACGACTGATCATACCACCTTTCTGCTGTAAGTACTGCTGTCCTTTTGTGCTACTACGCAAATTTCATTCAAGTGGGCCGTTAAGGAGTCGGGGTTTTAATCAGGACATTGAAGCACCTTAGAATCGAAAAAACGGTGCAACCCTACAATTTGTTTTAAATAAGCTTATGCTCTTTTCTTTCCGTACTGCACATTTTTTAACTTTCATCACACAATTATTCACCGGTGGATTCTTGTCTTCAAATTGTATTAATGTTTTTTTTTTTCATATTTATTGGTATTAATGCATGATTGAAATGCGGAAGACTCACACTAGTGTATACAAACTGGTCATTGTATGAGTTTGCCGGCCCCTCTCGGCTGACGGAAGACAACCTATTAATTTAACAAAGATTTTTTCCGTTTTTAGTACCATATAATTTATTTATTAGATACACGCAGCTGCCAATATTTCTTCCATGTTGAAAACAACAGTGTGCTTGATAAGATCCATTTCACTCAGAATCTGGATTTGGCTGGGATTTTAAAACACCTTTTGCTGGTTGGATAGAACTGGCTTTGTTGCTTAGTCCGAAATTCTGCAACCTAGGGAAACTTGGGAATGCCGACGTCAATGGCTAAGAGCGTCAATACCATTTTTAAAGCTTGCTCGATCTAACTCCTCCCCTGTATTTTGAGTACTGGAAATCGAGGGCGCCACTTCTAAAGCAGGGGTGTACACAAACGGGTCACAGTCCAGTGTGCCGTGTCATCCGTAATAGAACTGCGACCCAACAGCTACTCCGGTGGAGAGAGTCCGCGGTGCGGTGCCATCATATGAGAGCTGTGGCTGCAAAATGGGTGGCTTAACACGCCGCAGTGTTGATGTGCCCGGAACACATATAGCCCCATGGTCCTGAGGACTTACAGTCATAGCCCCCGACGAAATTACCGGTCCCGCTTGTGGGGGGTGCTCTGGCGTGCTCCCGGACAGTAAGTTTAACGGGCTGGGCGTGTTATTCGCCCGCTGAATTACACCCATGCTCTCGGCGTTTATGATGTACCCGCTTCTGATTGTTGGAGCAGTTGTGTAGTGGGTGATAGGGATCATAGTGCCTTAGAGGGAGAACGAAATTGGAACATCTGAAACATGGGTCGGTTGGGTTACATACCTAAGGAACTGCTACTAGGTGCAGAAGCTCCAATCACAATAGCCGACGTCAGGATCCCCGCCATCGGACCCTGACCGCCTAAGCTCGCCATACTTGTAGTCACAAAAGGTCCCGGTGTTATGCCAATAAGGTCGGGTGATTGACGAGTCGAAACCATTGGCGTTTTTTCCATTTGCCCGGCGACTGACCCTGGGTTACACGCTGAGACCAGCTGGTTGGAGGGGAGATCGGCGTACAGACTGCTGGTTGGTGCGTAAGTCAAGTAGTTCTGTACGGCAAAAGATAGAACAGTGAATTTATTCAGAGGACTTAGGTACTTACCTCTTTCTGAGACAAGCTGGGTAAAGGGAGTGTAGCTTTTAGATCGATTTCAGCGTCTATTTCGGAAATGGTGTCATTAAAGCTGCTTGGAACGGTTGTTTCCTCAACTGCTTGTCTCCTCCCTTTTGCCAAAGAACTGGAGTGCGTTTCCGTGATCAGACGGCGTTTTTGAAGCACTATCCTAGTCCCGAAAATTACTATGCAAATTAGCACTCCGAGGGACCCCAGAACAAGAAGATAAAAATAGAGACGTTCTTGGTCCTCTATTGAAAAACGAATTTTGCTTCATTTTAGTATTTTTTCTATTGAGCTCGACGACTGAATTTTATTAAATCGATGTCTTACCCTCTAGACTTAAGTCAGCACTGTGCGTCATGACGTGATTCACGCCACTTCCATCACCTTCAACAACCATAGAAATGTTTGTTATGTTCTGATTGTTCGCAGAATTAACGCTGAATCTAAACCCTAGCGATCTGGTTCCGTTTCGGCGTACTGTCGTGGTCGTATTGCTGAACAGCTTGGGTATCGCCTCGGACTCCTTATAAATCAGCTCATCGTCGTAGAGGTCATTCAGATCACCTTCAAAATCCTCAGATTCGTCAGCCTCCACTTCCGACGCCTTGTTTTCTTTAAGAACTTGCTTTGGCACTATAGATTAGTGTAATATGGGTCAAAGTTTTAAAAGCCATGTGCATTAATTTATCGACTTTCGCTTGCAACTTACCGCACGTATAGACAACTTTCAAGTACATTCGAGAATTTGGTTGGCAAGGGCTTCCAAAAGTATTTGCGTCGGCTGCCAGGTTGCATCGACGTCTACCATGGCAAATTTGCATTACAGTCTCCGTGGCATATGAAGCGAGACAAGCTATTGAAAGGAAAATGAAGTGGCCATAATGCGTCAATGTTTTATATCTGCGTCACGAATAGTCACAGATTCAATTTTAAAAATTCGAAATTTTGTTTTTTAGGTATATTTGTTAAGAAATTGTTAAATGTTTTAATAAACCTAATAAAACCTAAGACCTTAGACCTAAGACCTATTGATTCTGATCAAGAATATGGTCGGAAACGCTTCCGTCTGCTGAATATACTTTTCAACGAATCTCTACGAGTAAGGGGTATAAAAAGTATAGCGTTTGTTTGCGATTGAAATTAACTCTGTTTTTGGGACTCCAAAAAAAGCTGATCCACACTCAATTATTTGACGGACCATTGAAATATATAAGGTTTTATTTATATATACACATTTAGTTCATTTAGTCCAGAAGAACGACAAAAACGTCAACAAGAGTTATTCTATTTAACGAGTACCCACTTTGGGTGAAAGCCGAGTGTGGTCCGTTAACAAGACAAAACGTCATCAGTACTATAATTAAATTAAAATACTAATTAATGTAAGCTATCATGGTACCGTTGTTGAAAACGGTTTAAATCAGATTGTAAGTCCAAATGACAACAAATGTCCTTATTTATACTGCATGCATAATTTACTATAATGTGCAGACAATTTTTAAGGAGAAGCTTTCGTGTCCTCCCAGTCAAATAAATTAAGGATAATTTTAAGTAAATAAGTTAAGCAGTAACTAGAGTAATTTCCCTAATGGACAATAAATGTACTTACTTTCTTCGCGAACTCCTTGCGGCTGGGGACACTGAATGCTCTCGTACTCTGTTCTTCCAAAGCTTGCACTATATACGGCTATACGGGAGTATGGATTGCACTCTAGTTGTGCTACATCATTGTGGCAAGCAACCTTACTTCGGAACTCATCTAGAATACGTAAATAAATATACAATTCTTGTAAAATAAATTAGATAATCTAAAAAACAACAGAGAACGCTATAGTCGAGTTCCTCAACTATCAGATACGAGTTCCTAACGAGTTCCTCAACTATCAGATACCAGTTACTCAGCTAGTGGAAGTGCGAACGAGAAATTTAAACATTTTCTGGAATATCGAAAGAAAATGGGAAAAAAATAATAAAATGAAAATAAAAACGTTACAGTTTTTGGCGGTTTGTGGGCGTGGAAAAAAGTATTTTGGCAAGTCTATAGAAATTTGTCAGATATATTTATTAAAAAATGAAAAAATATCACATTTTGATATTACAACATATTAAGAGTGGGCGTGACAAAAAGTTCTTTGGCAAATCTGTACATATTTACAAAATATATAAAAAAATGATAAAATATCACATTTTTCAAAAGTGACAGTTTTGTGCGGTTTGTGGGCGTTAGAGTGGTCGTGACAACATTATAACTGCGCTCCGTCTAAGTCTTTGGAAGCTGCATGCTTAATCCCAACAATCTAGCTTTTGCAGTACCTAAAATCGAAGCGTACATATGGACAGACGGACATGGCCAGATCGACTCGGCTATTGATACTGATCAAGAATACACCTCGGAATACATATATGGTCGGAAACATTTCCTTCTGCCTGTTACATACTTTTCAACGAATCTAGTGTACCCTCTTGCCAAAGACATTATAATATCGAATAGAATATACACGTATATGTATTCATTGATACCTTTCGTGGCAAAAAAAAAAGTTTTTTTAAAAGTCTATAAATTTTGAAGAATTTTATTGTGGCGTGTTAAGTGTTAAAAAGTCCCTGCGTTAAAGGTAATTCAATTCTTGTTCAGATGAATGTAATCTTAAAGTAACCTTTTACGCACTTCCTTAATAATAACATTTTTAGTTCGCAGCTTCAGCGTCTCAAATAAGGAATGGTATGAAATTTGGAGTTCTGCTCCGTTTCTTCAAAAGGGATTCAAAGTGAGTCCAGAATCCAACAACGAAATGTAATTCATATTGTAGCTAATTTATCTTGTTTAGATTATTGTAATTAAAAATTACACTTTTTCCGCTTTTGGGAGAAATTTTTTATTATTAGGAACCTAACCACAATTTTCCCAATTTAGAGCAATATTGTGCTTAAAGAAAGGTAACCAGTCGCAAGTTAGGGAAGAGTAGAGGTAAACCCCTAAGAGTATCACAGAGTGCATCTTTTTCCAAAGGTAAGCGCAACAATTTCTTTTTTCCACAATAAAGATGCTTGCTAGAAGCATTGAATAGAAGTATTCGTATAGTACTCTACTATAATGCATTTTGCATATACATATACACTTTTGGAATTGTTAAGAAAATTAAATAACGCGAAGTTTTCCGATGGCTCATATTTTTACAATCGTGCATATTGGGGTGCAAGCCAAACCCAGTTTGTCTGTTTTGACAGTTTTTACAGAATACTAGCAATAGCAATCTTTTTAAATTATATTTTAATTTTACAATGTCCTCTTATTATAATTGTGAATATTATATATAATAATAATAATATAAATATAAATATTATTAATATAATATATAATACGTAATGTAATTTGTAATACACACACAGCTGTGTTCACAAAAATAGCAGTGCGAGAAATGCAATTAAGTAATGTTATTTTTTTTCAAGTTTCGTTAAGATTATTCCAACGTCTACGCATTGTTGTTGTAGAATGGAATGTGTAAGAAACGAAAAAATCTATTTGCGAGATTTAAGCAAATGAACAACTCTTTTGCTAGAAGAACTAGTTTTTGGCTGTTCATTAAAGAAGCAGTCCGTATCTTGATAAGCCAAAAAAACCGATCTATTGTGCGATATAGCAGGGCGCAGCCTTTCGCATCGTCCAGCAAGATAAAAAATGACTTAAGCTTGAATGTTAGTGGCGTTACTATTCGGCGACGTCTTTAAAAACAAAATCTCAAAGCGTGCCTTCCTCGGAAAGTTCCACTGCTACCAGACAACATGACTAAGTACTAGCCCAAGCAAACAAATTTAAAATATGTAGTTTTTGGAGTTCAACAGTTTTTTAACTATTTCCTCTGTTTTCATTACTCACGGCTACTTTTATGGACAGCTGTAAACAGCACTTTTTTGTTTAAATTAATAATGTAAAAAAAATTAATAAAATTTGTAATAATAAATTGATTTGTTTTTGATTAAAATAATCACAAAATTAAAACAAAATGCTGCGAGGCGCATCGTCGTCGTCTACGACATCAAAGACCATGCGGGCTCAAATGATACCAAGAATATTATGGTGGCGGGGCTTCAGATCGACCGCTTGGTCACAGAAAACCAATCAAGGACTCGCGATTACTGTTTTCGTACTTCCGATTCTACTTTACTGGTGTCGTTGACGGATATAATTTCCCTGGCGTCTATTTTTTCTTCTCCTTTTATTTTAGTGGACTCGAGCTGCACTTCTGCAGTCCCTTTATAGGTTTATAGGCAGTATACCCTATTTTGCACACGGCACGTCGCGTTCTCTTTTTGCACGGAGAGTAAGAGTCGAAAGTGCAGCGCGGAACCCCGAGTTTTCACGTTTGACCTGGCAGCCCTTGAATCCTAAATGTTTTTGGATTTTCGCCCCTTCAGCGTCGCATTATGCCTAAAAAAGACTACCTCCAAATTCATTAAGGTGATCGTCTCAATTTTATAGAGAATTGTTTCTATCCTGAGCACAAAATAATATTCTAACAAGAAGTGACTAGATTGAGTTAAAAAAGTGGCAGTAAAAAGTCCCGACCTCAATCCAATTAAAAGTCTTTTATCAATTGACAGCTTGGGAAGTACGAATCAGCTCAAAAGAAAACTGTGTTGTGATTGTGTTTCTGGAATGGAAACGAATTCCGAAAAATATTATCAAAAATTTGTTAGAGTCTGCAAAAAAGGATAACAGAAAAGAATACCATCATTATTAAAGGACTATGGATTCATTACATATTTATTGTTCAAGCTAAATTAGTATATATTTTTTTTAAATTTTTGTTTTTATTAAATTTGGTTGCAGACTTACTAAAAAAAATTTATAACATCATATCTTGGATTTTCTAGTATGGTTGTGTTTTTATTGGCGTCCTAAGTCAAAATCACGGGCAATTAAGTGCACTTAATTTTGCTCTTAACTGTATGCAGTATATTCTCGCAATCTTGCAATCTGTCAGCTGATAGCTTTATCGAAAAGCTTGATCCCTTTTTCTGCGGTTTACAGGGACTTAAATGATTCATCTGAGCCAAAAAATTAAATTGAAGACTGATTTTTTGTAGTAAAATTTTTTTTTTTTCTACATTTGACGTGGATTAACTTAAGGGCATAGCCACAATTCGTTAACTTTCCGTCTTTCCTGACATGACGCAGCAATTACACGCGCGGTCAATTTTTTCTTGACTTAGCAGAAGCAGTCCTTATAAACAGTCGACCGGATCCTTACCGCAATGCTTGCATTTTATCGTTGAGATACTGTTCACCCGCTTAAACGAAATAGGATTTCCCGGGCAACGCCAATTTGACCGCAATCTGTTTTTCATAAATCTCAAATCATGTCCCGAAGGTTTCGACTTAGTGAAGTCCCTGCAGGTGAATATCATGACTTTGAGACAAACTTTACTCTTTTAAAATTTATTGTTCCCAAGCTCTTGTCGATCGTACGGGCCATATTGACTTGGGTATTGATCCCGATCAGAAATATTTATAAATACGTGAATTTTAACATGACTGTGACCATTGATGCACAGTTAATGAAATGTGATTGATGATTGTAAGTGGCTTCCATAAAGTATATTTTTATTAAATGAGACAAACTTACATGGGCGACATTTGTAAGCGACTTCGACAATTTTTTTGCGCTTGGGACATGGATCGCTGCTTATTGCATTGGAGCTGGCCGTGCTGCTGTGATAGCTGCTGGTTCCAGACGAGTCGCCCACACCGCTGGAGCCCTGGCCGTAGAATTGCAGGGATCCGTGAAACTTGCAGTGCTTCTTCTTTTGGCAGGCCTCGACGACAGTTTGCAGTAAGGAGTACTGAGAATGGGAAAAACAAACACAGGAATTAGTTTTTCTCACGACCTAGTATCAATATTCCTTCTATAGTGCATGCACACGAAAAGAAGTTAGAGAAGACCTTTTGGAAAGCTTTTCCTATACCTTATAATTATACCTCTTTCTCGTAGAGTAAAAACAAGAGAAAAAGCAATATTCGATTTCCTCAATTTCAGATACACCTTACTCAGCTAGGGGGCAAAAAGTCTCAACATTTTTTGGCGTATTGATGGAAATTAGTAAGAAAATTAGTAATAGTGACAGCTTTTTGCGGCTTGTGGTTTTAAAGTGGCAAGCCAAATAACGCGACTTAAGAGAGTTCTTGGAGTCCTGGAAAAGCTGAATTAGTGCGTAAAGTCTTTAAATGCAGGGAATCGTCGCACTTGAAAGATGGCAAGGAAAATAACAACTTTCCTAGCTATCTTTGCGGACTGCCATCGTGCTGCTCAGGGACAGGTCGAACCAGTCTTGAACCGAAAAGTAACTGTCATTTCGTCGTTCAATTCGAAAGACTCGTTGATACAGGCACATACCTATGTTTGAGCGCATGAACATTCTTTCCGAAGCTATCCTCTCGGATTTTAACTTTTGAATGTCAAAATAGAGAACATGCTAATATAGGTAAAGTTCCACGTTGTTCCGGATGAGGACGTACGCATGGCCTTGCTGGATTTATTATGATGTAAAGACTGTAGACTGCTCTTATTAGCGAGCCAGCCCTCAAGTTGCACAATTCAAGCTTACAAACAAACATCCACACAAAGGAATTTTTGGTTTTTTTTTTATACTATTTATCCTTCTTCCTAGTCCCACCTGCAACGTTTATCTGATAGTTAAGTAAATCGACTATGGCTTTCTCTCTTGCTGGAAGTTAGGGCAACGTTATTTTTCATATCGATAGAAATGCGCAAGACCATAGTAATAATAATATTAAAATTAAATCTAATTATTTTTCAAAAATGTGGGCGTGACAGTTTTGAGTGGTTTAAGTGGTTATTACTTCAAGTAATAGTGGAAAACAACTTAAAAAAAAAATTTAATTCGAGTTTCTGGACTATCAGATACCCGTTACTTAGTTAAGGGGAGTGCTTACAAGAAAAAATTTGTTGGCAAAGAAAGCTAGATAGAAAGAAATTAAAAAAACTACATAGAATGCTATAGTCGAGTGCCAATCGGCTAGTGGAAGTACAAACGAGAAATTTCAATATTTTCTGGAATATCGGATGAATTTGAAAAAAAAAATAATAAACTGAAAAAATAATTTAAAAATTTTTATAGCCGTTACTCGTAGAGTAAAAGGGTGTACTAGATTCGTGAAAAGTTATGTAAAAGGCAGAAGGAAACGTTTCCGACCATATAAAGTATATATATTTTTGATCAGGATCAAGAATGAGGCCGTGACAGTTTTTTTTTTTGCGGTTTGTTGGCGTTAGAGTGGTCTATGTCACTGGAAGCACCATGCCTGATCTCAACATTCTAGCTTTTGTAGTTCCTGAACAACAAAAACAACGCGCATACAATCTTGCGCGTGCATAAATACACAACATAACGTAACGAAACTTGAATCCACAAAAAAGTAAAGCGCATGATTGTTGTATAACTTCATCATTCTTTTTGCATGCACTTAAACACAAATAAATAAAAATGCTGACAAACACATTTCCGTTTCTCGCGACTCACTTCGAGCCGATCAAAACTCTGTACATTCAGTCTTAAGCTGACAGTTTTAAAATAAAGACGCTCACCGAAATCGTTCGTGTTTTAATTTATACTTGGCTTCAGCGTTGATCTTTGTCTTCGTTACAGACGGATCATTTATTTGACTCAAGAAAATAGTAACTACGTAAGTGGCGCAGTCGGTAGGATGAAACATTGTTGATGCGATAGAAACCCTATTCAATTCTTCAATCATCATCCGCTAAAGAACTTTCGCAAATCGCGTCGGTAATATCGGTACAATCGGTTCACAACAAAAAGTGCCAACCAACGGTGTACCTAATCCCACAAAGTGATTGTGAACGTGAAACAACTTAAAATTATAAAAATTTTAAGAAGACGCCTTTGAATTCGCTGAGTAGTAAATCCACAAAAGGTTACTCAAAACAAAGCGAAATAGCAAAGTGTGCAACAAATAATAACAGCTAAACTAAGTGAAAACCAAATAAACGTAAATACAACTAAGTGAACTACAATAACAACAGTTAACCTAAGCGAAAAATAAACTTAACCAGAAATAAACGAAAAATAATAATAACAGTGTAACTTAGTGAAAACTAAATAAACTTAATTACAACTAAGTGAACCATAATAATAACAGCTAAATTAAATGAAGACTAAATAAACTCAATTACAACTAAAACGAATTATAACGATATCAGTGCAACTAAGTGAAATATTATAATAATAAGTGAGCGAACTACAAGAAACCCTACCCAAGTTACGAACCGACAAATAAACCAACAGCAAATACACAAACATTAATCAAAATTCAAAGCCAACAAACCACAATGGCAGTAGCAGCGCCAACACAAATAGAACTGTCTGACTCGAATATGATTCAAGTCGAAAGACACGCAATCGAGGTTTTCAACGGAGATCCTAACACCTTGTACACTTTCATCAGTCGCATCGACTTCATCTTGGCTCTTTATCAGACTACAGATGAAAGGCAGAAGTTAATAATCTTTGGACACATCGAACGGAACATCAGTGGCGATGTTATCCGCGCCCTCGGAGTGACCAACCTCAGCAACTGGAGTGAACTCAGGACTCAACTTATACTTAACTACAAGCCCCAAGCACCGAACCACCAACTTCTAGAGGAATTCAGGAACACACAATATCGAGGTAACATTCGTCATTTCCTTGAAGAAGCCGAAAGAAAACGGCAGATACTTATAAGTAAATTAGAACTAGAAAACAATATTACTGAAACCACTCTATATACTAGATTAATACAAACCAGCATCGAAAATCTAATTCAAAAACTTCCAAGCTACATTTATCTCAGAATAATTAACTGTAATATTCCAAACCTGAGATCATTAATAAACATATTACAAGAAAAAGGTCTTTACGAGGCACCAACCTCAAGTAAAGATAATATAAAGCCAACTTCAATTCCAAACAAAGTAACAAACACTCCTTAAAACAGGCAAATGAGCAATCAAACCAGACCCCTTGCACCCTTCCAACCATTCTATAACAACGTCTATCAACCCTATCACCAAGCATATTCTCATGTACCCAGGTTTAACACAAATCCGATACCTCAATATCAAAATAGACCTATCTACCCACAACCTAACATACCTCTGACACAAGCACCCAGACCAAACACAGCTTTTAACCGACAAAATATTTTTGACCAAAATCGCTTTGGACCTAGCCACACTCACATGCCTACAACATATCCACAAACCGGAAACGTACGGACTAATAACCCAATAAAAAGACAGAGACCATCAGACAGCGGACAGTCTAAAATGAGCACAGAAGAGATAAGATACCAAGAAGTATCGTCTAATCAACCCGAATATCCTTATAACTATAATTACTATTATCCCTACTATCCAGAATATTTTCAACCTCAGCCTTATCCCTATCAATCGAACTATACCCCAGAATTAATTCAATGTCCCCCTGAACAGAACTATGACAATTCAGAAACAACAGAAAAGGAGACACCGACAACAAATGACAACGAACCAGACGACCCCGAACAAGCAGAAAATTTTCGGCTAGTAGCCCCGGATCAAGCCGATATATAACGATCAAACATAATAATACCGAATTGAAATGTCTAATTGATACAGGATCTACGATAAATATGCTCACGCGAAATATTTTTCAAACACCAACACAAGAAACCAATTACCTAATCCACACCAGTAATGGCCCGTTAATAATTAATGAACTTACGAATATACCACCTAACAACTACTTCCCTATTGCCCAAGAGTTCTTGATCCACCAGTTCTCAGATCATTATGACATGCTGATTGGACGCAAATTGTTGTCCGAAGCCAAAGCAATAATCGACTATAAAAAGAAAACTGCCACTCTATTTAACAAAATATACAAGATAAAAGACGGTAACAACATTACAGAACAGAACCATATTCAAATGGACACTTCATTTCCACAAGACCCCACTTACTTAGAAACCTCCACACTTCAGGAGAACTTGTTCCGATTAGAACACCTTAACGTAGAAGAAAAACTGAAACTAACCAATGTACTGACAAAATACCAAGACATCCAATTTCGCGAAGGTGACAAGCTCACGTTCACAAACCAAGAAAAACATATTATTAACACCACACACAATATCCCCGTCTACTCTAAAGTTTATAGTTACCAACAGACATATGAAAAGGAAGTAGAAAAACAGATCCAGGATATGTTAGAACAGGACATTATCCGAGAAAGTAATTCACCATACTGTAGCCCCATTTGGGTCGTACCTAAAAAACTAGATGCTTCTGGACAGCAGAAGCTTCGTATCGTAATAGATTATAGGAAATTGAACGAAATAACAATAAACGACAGATACCCCATACCAAACATAGATGAAATATTAGGGAAACTAGGGAAGTCAAATTATTTCACAACAATAGATCTTGCAAAGGGCTTTCATCAAATAGAAATGGACTCAGAGTCAATAGCCAAAACTGCCTTCTCTACAAAATATGGACACTACGAGTACACACGAATGCCATTTGGGCTTAAAAATGCCCCCGCTACATTTCAAAGATGCATGAACAATTTACTCCGTCCACTTTTAAATAAATGCTGTCTAGTATACCTAGACGACATCATAGTTTTCTCCACATCTTTAGAAGAACATCTTCAAGCCTTACAAGCTGTTTTCGAAAAATTATCACAGGCAAACTTAAAATTACAACTAGATAAATGCGAGTTCTTAAAACAAGAGACAACTTTCTTAGGACATGTTATTGCTAAAGACGGGATTAAACCAAACCCGGATAAAATCAAAGCTATAGTTAAATATCCGTTACCAAGAAAAACTAAAGAAATTAAAGCCTTTTTAGGACTTACAGGATATTATAGGAAATTTATACCTAACTTTTCAGACATTGCCAAACCCCTGACCAAGTGCCTAAAGAAAGGAGCAACAATAGATATAAACAGTTTAGAATACTTAGAAGCATTCCAAAAGTTAAAATTATTAATCTCTGAAGATCCGATCCTAAAAATACCGAATTTCGAGAGGAAATTTACATTGACAACAGATGCCAGCAATGTAGCTTTAGGAGCTGTTTTATCACAAGACGGACACCCTATTAGTTACATCAGCAGAACACTAAATGAACATGAAATCAATTACAGCGCTATAGAAAAGGAATTATTAGCAATAGTTTGGGCAACCAAAACTTTCAGACATTATCTATTAGGGCGACACTTCGAAGTAGCTTCTGACCATCAACCATTGTGCTGGCTACACAAACTAAAAGAGCCTAACTCCAAGTTGACTAGATGGAAGATTAGACTATCGGAGTACGACTTCGACATAAGGTACATCAAAGGGAAAGAAAACCATGTCGCGGACGCACTGTCTAGAACCAAAATAGAACAGACATTTTTCGGAGAATCCACGCAACATAGCGCGGAAGAAGATAGTAGCGGACTAATAGGCCTATCTGAAAAAGCAATAAACTACCATAAAAGACAAATCATTTTTTCAAAAGGTCCCAATAATAATACAGAATATGAAACCTATTTCAAGAAACAAATAGTACGTATCTCCTATGCAGAAATGACCTTCGAAACAGCCAAACAATACTTACTCAACCACTTTTGTTGGAAGAATAGCGCCCTTTACATCGAAAGCGATGCAGACTTTGAAGTGATTCAAAGCGCGTACACAGAAACCATGAATACAAAGTGTACAAAGATTTTCCGAAGTCTCGTCTTATTAAAAAACATTCCTACTTATGCAAAATTCAAAGAATTAATCCTAAACACACACGAAAAGTTATTACACCCAGGAATTCAAAAAACTGTAAAACTCTTTAGCGAAACTTACTACTTTCCTAATAGCCAACTCCTTATTCAAAATATAATCAATGAATGTCAAGTTTGTAACTTAGCCAAGGCAGAACACCGCAATACAAAAATGCCAATGAAAATTACCCCTAAACCCGAACATTGCCGCGATAAGTTTGTAATAGATATCTATTCTTCTGAAGGGAATCACTATTTGAGCTGTATCGATGTTTACTCCAAATTCGCCACTCTCGAACAGATAAAGACAAAGGACTGGATAGAATGTAAAAACGCCTTAATGCGTATATTTAATCAGTTGGGGAAACCTAGACTTCTTAAAGCAGACAGAGACGGCGCATTCTCCAGCCTAGCCCTTAAACGTTGGCTCGAAACCCAAGACGTAGAATTACAACTTAACACTACGAAAACAGGTGTCGCTGACATAGAGAGGCTACACAAGACTATAAATGAAAAAATTCGCATCATAAAAAATTCTGACGACAACGAGACCAAGTTAAGTAAAATAGAAACAATCCTTTACATCTACAATCACAAGACCAAACACGACACTACTGGACAAACCCCCGCTCACATATTCATTTATGCCGGACAACCAATTCTAGATACACAACACGATAAAGAAGTTAGAATTAACGAAATAAACAAAAACAGAACCGAATACAATGTTGACACTAGATACAGAAAGGGACCATTACAAAAAGGAAAATTAGAAAACCCTTTTAAATTAACAAAAAACGTCGAACAAACTGACGAAGACCATTATAAAATCACCAATAGGAATAGAGAGACACATTACTACAAAACTCAATTTAAAAAACAGAAAAAAATTAATGAACTTCCCATTCTGCAGGCCCCTGGTTCATCATAATACTCCTCCTCACGTCTACAAAATTATGCCAAACCCAACAACTTCAAATCAACAACATTGACACTAACCACGGATACCTCCTATTTTCCGATAAATCGATTCAAATCCCTTCAGAATACGAACATCATTGTCTTCGCGTAAACCTTTCCGATATAGATAACCTAACCCACTATTTTAACAATAAGATAACTAACTACACTAATATTCCCCAAATTGACCTTTTGTACAATAAAATGCGAAGAGAACTTAGCGGAATAACTTTACACCAGACAAATAGACAGAAACGAGGACTAATCAACATAGTAGGATCAGCGTTTAAATATTTATTTGGAACATTAGATAACAATGACCGAACAAAGATTGAAAAACAATTAGAATCAGTAGCAACAAGTTCAATAAATCTACATGAAATAAATGACATAATTCAACTCATTAACAGAAACATACAAAGAACAAAAGAATTCTTAGACGAACATAGTAACAGAGAACAGTTAATATACGAACTTATCCAATTTACCGAGTATATAGAAGACATTGCAATGGGAATGCAACTTTCACGACTAGGACTATTTAATCCCAAATTACTCAATTACGACAGACTAGAGAACGTTGACAACAGTAACATCTTACAAATTAAAACATCAACCTGGATTAGTACTAACCAAATACTTATCATAGCACATATCCCCATTAAGCAAAAAACTGTCCACACAATTAACATAATACCTTACCCAGATAATAACGGGTACCAACTCGATCACAACGAAAAAGATACTTATTTTGAAGAACATGGCAAAATTTATAATCAAAATAGTAAAGAAATAAGTAACGAATGTATTAAGAACATTATAAAAAGAACTAAACCAATTTGCAATTTTGTCCCCACAACAGTTAACCAGATAATTAAATACGTTGAACCAAACAATATCCTTACTTGGAACATAAAGAATACTATTATAGAACAAGATTGCCAAGAAATAAATAAAAATGTAACAATTAACGGCAATAAAATAATAACAATAAAACAATGTAAAATTAAAATAGGAAAGATTGTTATCTTAAACGAAAACCAGCTAAATCCCGAAATAAATCTAACCCCATTGTACACACCCATTGAACTAATAAAAATAAAACCAATAGAACATAAGGACATTGTAAAACTAATATCAAATAATAATATTACAGTCTCTATTATTGTATCACTCATTAGCCTCACATTTTGTATAGTTTGTATCTACTTAAAACTAAAAACAACAAAAACAATTATGGAAACACAGGATACAAACCCAACTGCATTACCAAGATTATATGCGTCAACCCCAATAGAAGCATAAGCTTCCTTTTAAGGGGAGGGAAGTAGCATAATATGCTTCTCATATTACGCTTACATAAACTTAAACCTAACAAAAACAACGCGCATACAATCTTGCGCGTGCATAAATACACAACGTAACGTAACGAAACTTGAATCCACAAAAAAGTAAAGCGCATGATTGTTGTATAACTTCATCATTCTTTTTGCATGCACTTAAACACAAATAAATAAAAATGCTGACAAACACATTTTCGTTTCTCGCGACTCACTTCGAGCCGATCAAAACTCTGTACATTCAGTCTTAAGCTGACAGTTTTAAAATAAAGACGCTCACCGAAATCGTTCGTGTTTTAATTTATACTTGGCTTCAGCGTTGATCTTTGTCTTCGTTACAGACGGATCATTTATTTGACTCAAGAAAATAGTAACTACGTAAGTATATATACTTTATATGTATCTTCATATATACTTTATATATTCTTGATCAGGATCAATAGCCTGTTACATACTTTTCAACGAATCTACTATACCCTTTTACTCTACGAGTAATGGATATAAATATTAAAATGAAAAATGTTAAAAAAAAACTATTGATAATGTGGCAGCTTTGGGCGGTTGGCGGGCGTTAAAGTAATCGTGGCAAAAAACGATGTAGGTATTGGTATAGTGTGTCAGGTTTTATTAACATATGGCTCTCTCTTTTATTTATTAATCATATTCACACTCTATACAAAGTACAATACAAAATATAACCCTCGTTCGCGCAGCAAGCCCACATACGTGCGCACTCGCTGGCATCTCGAATGCAACTCCCCTACGGCTCTTCCTCTTTTAAGGAATCTAGTAGGCTGTTTTACTCCACGAGTAAGTTAAAAATAAAAGCGGGATAATACGAAACTGGAAACATTCTTAAGTATTGCATAAGTTATCAAACATAAACACCTCTTAAAGGGGGTAAACTAGTGACAAAAAATTATTATTTACAACTAATAAAATACAATACTAAAGCTTCATCAAAGCCATGCGACCTTTTACAACCACGACATGCAAAGGGTGCAAAAACAATACAAGCTTAATTGGTATCTATTAGACTTCACAGGAATATGATCAGTTTTAGTACCTGTAATGCATTTGGCCACATGCAGTTTTCAGAAGCGTTGTCAGTATTGTAATCCGTACTTTGCACATCCTCGACAGAAGGGGTTATGCTAGAAATTGGTTCGGAGATAGTGGCACTGCTGCTGTTGGAATCAGGAACGGGATTTACTGGAACTGCAAGGGAGTGCCCTTCATTCATATATTTGTTAGACGGTATGTTAAGTGAGGGTGAGCCAAATATGGATCCGCGAAGTAGGTGCTTTGTTCTACCTCGGATTTCGGATCTTCTTTCCCCAGACCCAGGACATAATTCTTCGATACTGTAACCGTCTGTAAAACGGGTGCGTAAAATTGATTTTACCATCAAATTCAGGTTTTCAAAATGAGTGGATGCTTACCTTTCGCAACAAAATTGTTGTACTGGGCAAACTCAATTGAAATACTAGTACCACGGGGACAGGCTATAACCACTTGATCCGAGTCACATGCCACTTTCTGATATGTGCGCAAAGTAGCCGATAGTAAAGCTATGTTATAAGAAAATAGAATACAAAATAAAATAGACTTGATGAATACTGATTATGACAATATCAAGTAATTTTTGTTTGGGTACCTATAGAAGTGTATAAGTGAAGTTTCATAATTTTATCAAGGAATAGGAACTCGGTTACAGTACGTTACTAGTAGAGTAAAAGGGTATACTAGATTCGTTGAAAAGTATGTAACAGGCAGAAGGAAGCGTTTCCGACCATATAAAGTATATATATTCTTGATCAGGATCAATAGTCAAACTGGTTCGCCTGTCCGTCTAGCCTCGATCTCAGGAACTATTAAAGATGGAATGTTGAGATTAAGTAGAGGCATCCAGAGACATAAAATGTTTTGATATTTTTTCATTTGTTTTATTAGTCTTGTAAATTTCTATCGATGTACAAAAAACTTTCTGCCACTCCTACATTTGTTGTAGAAATTCAAAAAAAAATTAAGAAATGTCCCAAGGCTGAAGTTCTTAACTCAATAACTCAACTTATCTTTAGTGGCATACCTAATCCCAACTTTCAATCTTCTATAGTTCCTGAGATCTTGACGTTCATACGGACGGACGGACTGACATGACCAGTTCGACTCGGCTAATGATTCTAATCAATAATATGTATACTTTATATGGTCGGGAAAGCTTCCTTCTGCCTGTTACATACTTTTCAACGAATCTAGTATACCCTTGGAATTGATTTAAAAAGCAGGACATCCCAAATGCCCCTATCAGAAATGCAGTTTCGCGTTGGTTCCAGTCATCTAAACACTGATAGTTTGCCGACTAACAGATTTAGCTGAAATATAATGTTAAATTCTCAGGCAAAATCGACCGGACGGAAAATTTTCAAATGAAAATTCCTGCGAAATGTGTCTAACGCTGAGGGAAGTCGTGAGACAGATCAATAGGCTTTAAAATGAACAAGAAAGAATGTTAGCTTTATCTAGCCGATATATCCTTTTAGTAATTATATTTAATTAAAAATGATGTATCCGATATCTGTTGCTAATCGTGTGGTTGTGCGAGGGACACTCGTACACATAAAGAAATTTCAACATTATGAGCGTGACAGACTTTGGCAAACAAGTCACTGGAATCTGAATTCTTAATATTAATTTTATAGCTCTTATAGTTTATCTTCACACGGACAGAAGGACTTAAAGACGGACTAACACACGGACGGACAGACAAACGGACAATCGGTCAGACATGGCCAGATCGGGTGGTGATCATTTCGACTGCTTAATATTTTTCAAAGAATTTAGTATACCCTTTACACTACGTGTAACGGGTTGAATTGGATATATTAATTGGAAGTCACTGACAAACAATCTGGAGAACCTCTGCATCGTTCAAAGACTGCAGAACGTCCCTTACCCTTGCCGCTGAGGTGCTGGGCATGTAATAAGCATTCTATCTATATTATAAGCGAGTCTAACATTAAAAATGCTTGGCCCTAAGGTACATACTAAAGCCCAGTAACAGTTACATTGCATCAGATACAGATAAGCTGGTACTGATAACTCATTTTGGGTACAATATTTGTGTTTCCTTTCTGTTTTAACTTTCTTATATAAACTCTCGTTTCAACCCATTATTTTATCAATTTTTTCCAAGGCAACACAATTTGTGTACTATTACATACTGGGTAACTATTACTCTAGGTAACAGTGCATATTTATTATAGCCGTTACTCGTAAAGCAAACAGGTATACTAGATTCGTTGAAAAGTATGTAACAAGTAGAAGGAAGCATTTTCGACCATATAAAGCATAGTATATATATGTATCAGGATCAATAGCCTAGTCGATCTGGCCATGTCCGTTTGTCCGTCCGTTTGAACTTCGAGAACCAAGCCAACACTTTTGAAAAATGTTTTGAATTTTTTTCGTTTTATTGTTTGTCTCGCATCATTTCCATCAGTATATCAAAAACACTTTGGCCGGTAGAAGCGGCGTTCTAACTCCTAAAATCCGTTTTTTTGTATTTTTTTTTTTTCAAATTTCTATTTATGTGCCAGAAAAATGTTGAATCTCATTCACACTGCCATTAGCTGAGTAATGCGTATCTGCTCCCTATTGTTTTTCACTGGTTTCGATATAAGAATTACAGCTTAACATTACCTTATTAACTTATTACGTTCAGTGCAGAGTTGTTGATCAGATAAACACTAAAATCATTTCATTTCATCGAAAGTATTTTCGTAAACAGCGTATAAAATCAATAATAAAAGTTAATCAAGAAATAAATTATACTTTCATACATATCTGAAAATCGCTTAAGTGGCTTAACCTTGCTTACCCAGAGGATCGATGCGAAAAATGATTTCCCCATCTGCCGTGGCGGTGCTGATGATACACATGAACGACAGCACCAACGCCGTGGCTCTCCAGTAATCCATCCTCTGGCAAACGCGAGAGACTTATAATTAGTAAATCGACTCGCGGTGAAGCAGAAGAAGCCTTTATAGGCCTCGTTTGTCACTCGCATTAGAATCCAAGCTCTTCCTGTTGACTTTCTAAAATGGCCACTCATGGGTTGGTTAAATCAGCCCATGTGAAGCTACAGCAAAGTCGAAGTCGGGAACTTTTCGCCAATCACTTCATTGTAGGATTAAGCGCACACATTTATTTTATGCTTTAACTTTGAATATGAATATAAAACTCTGATTAATTTTTTATTTGAGTTTCTGTCGGTCCTTGTAAAAGCGGCCTGGCCTCACTGAGGAAACACCAGCTACTAACTAACTAGAAGCCCACCAGCAAGCGCATTTAAATTCATCCTTCTTATGATATTGGAGTGGCATCCATGAAAATATGTATAAGGTGTAAAAATAAGGTATAAAAATTTCAATTTTGTGAAGTATTGAACTTTGTCAAACTAATCAGTAGGATGTGTAGTCTTTAGGCTAAGCTGAAATCTCCAACGGACATAAAGGGTGATTTCCAAATTTCAAGAAATTTCTTTTCCTTTTTGTAATTTTCTGTCTGGATTATAACTATATATATAGAATGGAAGTAGCCGCATTTGTTAAAATGTTAACAACTAAAAAATAGGGTTATTTTATAGGGTATTACGTGTCTCCAAAGAACAGTAGAGCTCTCATTGTGAAATCCTGGAGCGGTTGCTTTGTTTGCCGACACAACTAACTACAAAATGTATATTAGGAGGAAAAACCAGTGAGGTAACTAGAGCGAATAGTAAGATTTCGTTAAATTTTTAGAATAGCTAATAACTATTTGGAAGTGTTCTTATAAATTTGTTGATTACATTTTCTAAGGAAGTAAGGTGAAAAAAACTCTCGCTTATAGACGATTGACATCGGTGGGACACTTGCAGGTCGCAGTTTTTTTGTGACTTAACATTTCTTTTGGATGGTCAATAACATGTTGAAAGTATAAATCAATTAACGGTCATAAAATTTAAGTTGAATATTCTGGAGGTGTTTGATTACAACTTGATTTATATGATTGACAGTCGTTGAAACTAATCGGAACTTGGTTTTGACACACACTTTTAATCCAAGTAAATACATATATTTCGAATTTTCTAACTATCTATACTTTCCCCATTAACCCTCTTAAGGGTCAGCGTGTGGGGTCGTGGGTGGTTAAGTTACAAAGGGCGCTTAATTCTTGGCTGCCGGCTTTTAGGGCTTCATATTTTTTAGTTCTGTGCTTTATTCGCGATGGAAAAGGAAGAGAGACAAGTGCAACACTTTTAGGACTCTATATTGTTTAATATTATTAAATTTTGATAACACATACACATGTAAAGGTTCACCCCTAGCTCGTTATGAACAAATACGTGCAAATATACGTTTGCTTCCGATTTCATCAAGTACAGCGCCTGACAGACGGTACGCAGCCGCCAGATTTCAGATAGTTATAGTATCTCAAACTACACACGTCCGCGATGGCGGGAGATTTACGGTGAACTGCTGTATTTTCTGCCAGGACTTGGAATTAGGACGTTGCCATCGGAGCCGAGCGCCAACTCGCAGCTTCAACGTCGAGCTGGCGACAAGGAAATTCTCTCAGTAGGAACAGAGGTCCAGCAATTCGACTCTTTCTGGGGATGACAGCGCATGTCGTTTTCGGTAAAGAGAGCCGGGGCTGCTGCTCTGACAAAACAACCTTCCACCATTCGGAACTGTGAATGTGGGTCAGCGTGAGTGCCGCTTTCGTATCCCTTCCCTTAGTTTTATTCTTGCGGAGCCTCAATAAGTCTCTGGCCAAAGAGAGTTATATACATATAAGCCTACGACCACCGATTGAGCGGTATATCTGACTATAGGTTTCATATTATTTTGATATAATTTCCACTTAATATAAACAAAAAAAAATATTATTTTACTTATTACTTTTAGACTAAAAATGCATATTAGAGGAAAAGTATAAAACAGGTATGAAACGTTTTTGGCCCTGCAATAAACATACGAGTACATTCAGTTTTCTGTCCGTTTTACATGTTAGCAGTTAGAATAAGACCATAGCAATGCATTAGCCAATCCAACAACTTGGAACCAAAATATTTTCTCTGGTTTTTAATGAATAAATGCTCTTCGATTGGAACCAAATACTTGTTAAAAATTGTTTTTACGGGGGTAAAATTAAATATATGTTAAAAAAATAATTGTTTTTCAAAGCTATATTAATTTTCATGCCACAATTTCTTCCACGTCGTTGTGTTCAAATACACTTTTTATTATTTGATTTCCAGCACGAAACTGGCCAAATCAATGATTAATACATACATATGTATATAAAAGTACATATATATGTATTCTCGAGAATTTTTATAAGTATTCATTTTGGTTTATTTATTTTCTTAAGTATAACGGAATATTCATTATTCTTTCCATTTCTCCAAAATTTTTTTTTATTTGATTGTTTTACCAGATTTTACATGCGTTGTATACTTTGCTCACATCTCACATTAATTATACATATATCGTTCTTCCAGTAAGGAATCGTATTTAAGTTTAAAATATCTTTTGCCGTTAAGATGTAAATTCACTTTTTTTACCCGTTACTTGTAGAGTAAAAGGGTATACAAGAGTCGTTGAAAATTATGTAACAGGCAGAAGGAAACGTTTCCGACCATATATAGTATATATATTCATGATCAGGATCAATAGCCGAGTCGATCTGGCCATGTCCGTTTGTCCGTATGAACGCCTCGATCTCAGGAACTACAAAAGCTAGAATGTTGAGAATAAGCATGCGGCTTGGGGCGTTACAGTGGGCGTGGCCAATATCGAGAAAAACTAGCAAGATAAACAATAACATGCGCAGAATTTGGCTGCAAAAAAGTGAACATATACAACGCTAACATTTTTTTTTAAATTAAATGAATCACAAAACAAGAGACTTTTCCCTTTTTTTAATTTTTGTTCTTTTCTTTTATTTATATTTTATTTTATGGCATATAACACCTCGAATAACAAAAAGTAAAAAAAACCAAGATAATTTTTTCTATGAACAACATTCTTGCTCTCCTGTAAATCACAAGATCTCGACATTCAAAGGCACAATTGAAATTACTACTAAGAGTTTAGACAAGAATTGGCAAACCCTTGCTAGTATTCTTGACAACGATCTAACATGTTAACACGTTTGAGTTAACATTTGAACACGTACCCACCAGCCGCCAGATAACAACAATTATGACAGGAACACCAGACATTAAGCAATCTAGACGACGCGAAAAATCGGATTAATATTCACTGAAATACATCACCATAAAACAAAAAAAGGTGAAAACAAAAAACATTGAACCAAATTCTTTAATGTGCTGCATCAGCCAATATCAGTTACAAAAACAAAAGCGATTTTGAACACCAAACACTGAACTATGCCAAACGTTTCACATACAGAAATGACTAGTGTTTTATATGCAGGAAAGTCATTCTAAATGATCTCAACTACAAAAAGGTTAAAAAAAAACTCAGAAAAAAAGACGATATCCTGAAAGAGACTGGACTCAGCAGTCTCACCATTCACCATATCTTTCAATTTACTAAAGCTCGAAAACAGAACCTGCTAAAACTTCTCCGAATAACACGTATCCGCGGACTTTAACTTCTGTCTAAACTTCTGTCTGTCCACCTGGTACACTCATGCCGAAAAGCAAAAACAAGATCTACTAAAACCCTTAATACTTAATACATCGCTCTTCTCTTAAGTACAAGTTGTACTGGTGGTACAACTAGAAATATTAATATCATTAAATCAATCCTTGTCTCAAAAATAGACCACTGGCTTTCATAAATTTATATATATAATATATATATGTTGTTGCCAGCGTGATAGTACAGGTGGCAACACTGCAGGAAACTATCGATAGGATCAGGAGTGCTGTTGGCAGGAATGATCGAAAAAGCAGTTGCAGAGTAGAAGTCGAAAAAAACGATTATAAAACGACAGTTGTGGAAAAGCGGATAAGTCGGTCGGTCTTTCAGGAAAGATCAGTCAAGTCAGACAGTCTTTGAAAGTAGACGTAGAGTTGCGTGTAGTTCTATCAGGGCTTGTCAAACCAAAATGAAGTGTTATCAAGTTTATTCACACATTTGTTTTTTTTTGTAAACTTAACTTTGTTACATTAAATAATATCAATAAGCAATAACCAATATTTAAATAAATATTATATATATATTTATCCTTCGTCATCTCACTTATCTCTTTCGTACGCCACTTGTTTTTTGATAAGGTGTCATAAGTTGTTGGTATTATTATATTGTCCCTTAATTAAAATGTATATTAATTCCCCCTAAGTTTATACAGACCTATTTTTAAAAGTCCGACCTTTTTGTGATTACAACGTACATTGAGCAGATCTAAAATGCGTTTCGCAAATTTTTTACGTCGTTAAAATCGTACAACTATGTATATAGGAAAACAAGATAGAATGCTATAGTCGAGTTCTCCGATTATTAGATACCCATTACTCAGCTAGTGGAAGTGCTAACAAGAAATTTTCGGGAATATCGGTAGAAATCGGTAGAAAAGTAATGAAATTAAAAAAAACTTAAAAATGTTTTCAATGTGTGGGCGTGAGAGTTGTGTGCGATTTGTGGTAGTGGCCAAAAAATTTTTTTGCTAATACAAAGAAATTTACTAAATATATATAAAAGTGAAAAAATATCACATTTTTCAAAAGTGTGGGCGTGATAGTTTTGGGCGTTGGAGTGGGCGTGGCAAAATTTTTGGCAAATCTGTAGAAGTTTAAAATATACATACATATTATATATTTAAAAATTCAAAAAATATCACATTTTTCAAAAGTGTGGGCTTGACAGTTTTAGGCGATTTGTGGGCGTTGGATTGGGTGTGGCAAAATTTTTGTTTGCAAAACTGTAGAAATTTACAATATACAGTAGAATCCGGTTATAAGAACTCCGCTTATAGCGTCCGGTTATTGCGACGGAAACTCTATGGCTTGGTTGGTCCCCATACAAAGTTATATGAAAGGACCTCCGTTTAGTACGTCTCCGCTTTTTAGCGAGAAACCGCTTATACGGACGAGATTTTTCATAATTCAATCGGATATTGCGGATAATAATAATCGCGAAAATGCATACTTTATAGGCGCAAAAATGCTTATTCTACCACCTACATACTTTTCAAGAGTAGTAACAAGAGTACAGTAACAAGAGAGAATGCTAACGCCAAGGTCCTAGTATGTATGCGAGGGAGATGCAGATACGCAAAGAAATACGCGTGACAATCTTTTCAATGAAACTAGTAGGCACCACAAACTGCATTCCTTATATTCATCTTGTGAACCTTACACTTCCCGATATCTTGACTTTCATAATGTGATCCTAATGGACAAGTTAGTATTTTCGAGTCGGAAGCACTTCTACCAGGATACTAATATCTTAATCATTATATCGTCTTAGCACTTGTACTTCTAAGTCTATTATAATAAAGCGTTCTTAAGCTTAACATTGGGATTTTAACTTTTGTTAAACCTCCCTTTAAAATTCGCCCTGTATAACAGCAAGATTAAAAACTGCTATATGCAACCGAAGAGTTTCACGTACATAAATCGGTTTTTCCGAAAAGCAATCTGTGAAATTATTATTGCCCTAGCAAATATCCAAACCGTTATGGCGTGTTCGCAAAATATGGTTTAAAACATGTCTCAACTTTTAGAAGGCGTGGAAAATAGGAATGATACGAAAAATGTACATGAGTGTTGTGCCACTCCAAAACATTTCTAGTCATTCCGTTATACAGAATAGAATGTGATTACGCGGTAACATTGCAATTGTACATTCGAATTATATAGTGAATTTCGATGCTGATACAACTTTGTACATATCGAAGTCTTCCTTGTAAAGAAACCATGGTTCCTTAATAGTTTGTAGATTTCAAGGTCATTTGAATTTTTAAAGCAAGTACTGTAACGTCTATTGGCCCAATGTGAACGGTAGTTTGTAAACTGTAATTAGAGCTAGACTTGTTCTGGTTTTTGAGGTTACCACAACGATTTTACAGTCTGCCTCTGTATGATCTTGCAGTTGAGAAGCACATAATCGCAATACCTATTTTTTCGGCAATATTCGATATTACTGCGATATTACTGATTACACTTTTTAACAGCAAAACAATTAAACAGTACAGAAGTGGCCCAAAAAGCTAGCATTTGGGAAACCACTACATCAAAGTTGGAAAAATGAGCTTTATTAAAATTTATGAATCAATTGATAACAACATAATATATCACAGCTACTAGTAGTAATTTAAGCTCAATGATATTCGCCCAAGGAAGTACTTAATGGTAGTTAAAAATAATAATGGTTAAGAAGACATCTTACCCAATTTTTCTCCACAGAATACACAGTTCAGGGACATTGTCCATATTAAAGCCCATCCAATAAGCACCACACGATGACGAAGGGGTTTTAGGTATAGGTATGAGGTGTGTCTTTTTGATGCCAGGCGCGAATCCATTACAAAGACGCAGCTGTCTGTAGCTTTAGATGTGAGTAAGTTCAGTGGTCTTCAACCACTTGTTCTTAAGAGGTGCCGGCGAACGTAAGTGTACAATCTGGTGCGTTATTGTATGCCGATGTTATTAGAAAACAGTTTTTACGATTTTCTTAGTTTCTCCGTGCTTGGGAGAAAATTTTTACATCTGGATTCATTTCACTACCATACCTTTAGAATTTATCCATACTAGATAAGGTAGAATATTTTATCGAGGAACTTGTTGTCAGTCTAAATCCAATATTATTTTCAGCTTGATTAAAGATTTTCGATCTCTGCTGATTTGTTGATTTGTTTTTAGGTTCTGCCACATTTCTGTCATCCGAAAACAAAATCTGTGGGGAAATAAAAATACATTAAAACATGATTTCAAACTAGAAACGTAACGATTAAAAATTCACTGTTTGTATGTTTCTCATATCCGAATCGCATTATCAATATTGAGTGCATGCAAAGGGATTAATTCGATATACATTACTCAATCTGCTGATCACAGCAATGCCTATTTTAATATGTGTATCATCATATGTGTATATTGCAAACAAAAATGTTTTCATATTAACCTTAAATATTAAAACGCCCGAATGCGATGTTCATTTGATGTACTTTTGCTTAAAATGCTACCTTTTAACAAAATTATAAGGGTATTTTAAAACTGAAATAATTTTTGTGTTCATTTTTATACCCGCTACTCTGTGAGTAAAAGGGTATACTAGATTCGTTGAAAAGTATGTCACAGGGAGAAGGAAAAGTTTCCGACGATATAAAGTATATATATTCTTGATCAGGATCAATAGCCGAGTCGAAGTGACCATATTCGTTTGTCCGTCCGTCTTTCCGTATGAACGCCTTGATCTCAGGAACTACAAAAGCTAGAATGTTGAGATAGGTATTGATATAGGTATTAAGCTTGCAGCTTCCAGATACATAGACGCAGCGCAAGATTGTTTTCAAATGTTGCCACGTCCCCACTAAGGTCTACAAACTATCCAACACTGCCACGCCCACACTTTTGAAACATGTTTTGATTATTTTTTGTAAATTTCTATAGATGTGCAGAAAGCCTTTTTTCCACGCCCACTCTTACGCCCAGAAACCGCCCAAGCATGTCATAAACTATATATTTTAATGTAGGACTTTCAAAAAGGAATATTTATACAATTGCTTTGAAACCATACTCGCGGTATTGCATTTTCACGTCTGCCTATATAAAGTAGCGTTCAATTTTTTGTAGCGATGTTATTGAAATAATCTTGTATTAAAGAAATATCATGGACTTATATTGTTTAAGAATGTTGCAGGACGATCCTTATTAGTTAGTAATTTAAATGAACGTTATAGTCGAGTTACTGGACTATAGGATACCCGTTACTTAGCAACTGGAAAGGCGAATGAGATGTTTCACCTTTTTTTTTAAATTAGCTAAACATTTAATAAAATATAATTTTTTCTAAAAATTAGTGACCAAAATGTGTTTTGTGTACCGATAGAAATTGGTCAGGCAAATAATAAAAGCGAAATTTCATTTTTCAAACGTGTGAGCATGACAATTTTATGCGGTGTGTGTTGAGTAGGCAAAACAAATTTTTCGGCATACCGATAGAAATTGACAAGACACATAAGAAAATTTTGAAAAATCAAAACAATTTTAATAAGTGTGGGTGTCAACATCCGGAAATAAACTTGGACTGCTTCTATGTCTCTGGAATTTGCATGCCCAATTTTTGCCAATTTTTTCTAGCTTTTATTAGCTCCTGAGATCTCCACGTTCATACGGACGAAGAGACGGACATGGCCATATAGACTCGGCTATTGATCCTAATCAAGAATATACATATATACATTTATATGGTCGGAAACGCTTTCTTCTGTCTGTTACATCCTCTCGACGGATCTAGTATACCCTTTTACTCTACGAGTAATGGGTATAAAAACTTGTCTCTGGAATCCGCATGCTTAATCTTAACTTTTTAACTTTTAGTCGGCATAATATAATATATTTATTTGATGGGGTCTCTGTAACTCTACGAGTAACGGTTATACAAATTTTACTTTGTTGGGCGGGGTCACAAAGGTATTTCTTTATTACAAATTAGTGGTTTATTTTAATGAAAATTCACTGCGTAGGCCTTAGTAGAATCTGCATGTTGCATCTGTACTCCATAGCTCGAGATTCTGACGGACAGGACGCTAGTCCGTTGAGAAAAAATTGGTTTATATTGCCACATGCAACACAAATATGGGAACATTATCATGGAATTTGAAAATTGGTGTTCTGTAAATAATATATTATTATTTTAAAAAACTGATAAAAACCTTTTATGAGAAGATTATCCAATCGCTTACAGGCGGCTTTCGCCCTAATATATTAATAAAATCTCAAATTAGTTTCTATACAATATATTATTCGCGTTGTATTTTTGGTAGTATGGTTGATTGCTTCGTAACACTATATTTTGGCACATGCTAAATTGATTACACTTATTGGCATTTTCACTAATTCGTCACTGTCCTTACAAATGATGGCAAGATAGCCATAATTAAACTTTAAAATAGTTCACTTTTGAATTCGCTTCGATCTGAGAATCCCGTTATTGTTCGTTACAATTCAGCCAATCTCACAAAACATGTGCGGCTTACAGAGCCTTGCTCCGGTTGCTGTGCAGTCAGTTGCTGGACTAATGGCATCCCGAAGTCGAACCGGTGGATCAGGAAACACACATTCGCCAAGAAGTGGAGATGCTAATATGACCAAGCTTTTAAGAGAACGAAAAAGTTTTGAAGGAGCTTAATGGAAGGCTAAGAGAAGTTTTCAAGAAGCTTAATAAAAGTCTAGTGCGACTTTTCTAACCAACCAGTTTTGGCTTTCATTCGACAGAATAGTTCAGCTATATCTGTGCTGTTAAATTCTCTGCGAAAGCTTTCTGCAAAATCTGCTTATACTAGGCGCCAAAAACAAAATGTTCTGTTTGTCCTTTATTAATAAAGCAACTTAATATATATACTTATGTATATACAAGTATGTCCATATAACTTTCGGGAAAATTGAGATTCTAAGATATCTTAACTTTATTATATGATTAACTAGAACTATAGGGTATGTATTAATACTAAGACTTAAGGAAATAATTAGCTCACCAGAAAAGTTAAAGGTGAATGAAAACTAGAATGGAAGCTATCTTCGGCAGGTTTATGTACCCGTGCAGTAATTATATATTCCAAAAAGTGATGCATAATATTGAGGATTACGTTAATGCTTTAAAACATCGAAAGAGCTAAGACACTTAAAAAAGTGTTAAAATTTCTGGAAAATACATTTACATGCCAAAAAAAGCAGTAAGGCAGCCAATATACATAATACGGAAAACTTAGAGCATATTGACTGAGGGTATGGGTGGCAACTGACCACACCTCAAAACTCTTGGACGTAAACGAAATAATTCCATTAAAGGTAGTCATGGAGAAGTGAAATTTTTTCCGTAGAGAAAGGCTTTCTTTTAAGAGCTTCGGACACAAATTTGCACCTTGCAGAGGATGTAATCGGGGACGAGAGTGTTCGAAGAGCAGTACACGAATTGTTACATGGGAGAAAAAAGGCAAAGCAACTATTATGTCGAAAGTGCGAAAAATAACTTTGTTGGCCACCGCGTAGCGTGACCTTTCATTACGGCTTGTGTCAAGCGGTTAACACTTCTAGCGTTGGTTGAAAAAGGATCTCAATTTTCTGTCGTATCTGAAGAAGCAGCTTAAATACTAAGAGTATTCGAAAAGAATAAGAGAAACCCAAATCTATGGACTATGAGAAGATTTAGTTGGGTATGTAAAAGCAACGACTAAGAATTCGTCGAAGATTTTCAACTCATGATCAATTCCAGACCGAAACGCTTCCTTACCTTCCATACTTTTCAACGAATCTAGTATACCCTCTTACTCTACGAGTAACGGGTAAAAATATTTGACACTTAAGCGGGTTTAAAACGAAAAGGAAATATGTAGTTTTATTGTGAGTTGTGTGCAACGGCCTAAAATGGCATACCTTAAAAAACACAGTATTCAAAAAGCTCAAACAGCTATTACTGTTTGGTTGTCCAGGAACCACGGTTGTGGTTATCATGAACTATAAAGTTAAAAATAAATACTACAGAAGGATAACATACAGAAAAAACCAAAAATGTGAAGTAAGGGAAGTGTCAAATTATTCGTTCCTAAAAATAAACAAAAATACATATGTATAATGCTACAAGGCAAAAGCAAAGCATTATTAGTAGCTGGAATATATGGGTATGACCGTTTTTAACGGGTTTTATTATTAGTTGACTATTTCCCTTATATTTATGTATGTATATTCGTATACAAGACCCTATTAGCGCTTTGTATGATATTTCTGAATATGTCTCACCAAATATTCTGACCAACCGTTATTTCTAGAAAATTATTACGTCCATCCATATGACTGCTTGAGCGCGCAGGTACACTCCCTACTATGAAGTCCCATTCCAAGATTGCTGGTTCACGAAGGTAAACAATGGTAACTTTGAGAGTTTTCATTACACGGCTTTTTTTTTAAATTCAGAACCATAATGGTTCACAGCGAATAATTCGTAGTAGGTTACTATACACTGAAGCTGTAAATAAAACAAGATAGAATACTATAGTCCAGTTACTATCGGTAAAAATTGAGAAGAAAAAAAAAATTAACATTTTTCCAAAAGGTAGGCGTCACAAATTTTGGGCGGTAGAGAGAAATTACTAATTTTAATCACTAATTTTTCAAAAGTTGCAACATTTGGAAACAAACTTGCGCTGCGTCTATGTCTCTGGAAGCTGCATGCTTAATCTCAACATTTTAGCTTTTGTAGTTCCTGAGATCGAGGCCTTCATACGGACAGACAGACGGACATGGCCACTTCGACTCGGCTATTGATCCTGACAATGTAAAATATATAGTGACATATGTAATGCTCAACCACACAACATATATCTACAACATATACCAGCTACTTTATATATTCTCTTACTTAGCAACAATAGAACATAGAACCAAGAATGCCTTAGCACATAAGAACCCCAACTTCTTGGTGACAATAACAAATTCGGCCGATGTAAACAATTTAACATAAACATCCGCAGTCTTATTCGTTATTCCCACTAGAAGGGTGAAAACTGCTTACACAGCTTAAAGGGTCAAAACTTTCCAGGGTCGATCTGTATCCATGCGCAATCCACTCAAGAGAGCGCCTAATTAACGTAAACATAAATGAGAGCCCATGTACGCTCAATATGAAGAAGTAAATAAGCTCAGCCAAGGGTTTGCTAAGCGTTCGCTTTGCAAATTAGATTTAAATTTTATTCATACTTCAATTGTATAAGACGTGAATTTGTCTCCGACGTTCGCTTAAGTTTTTGATTAATAAAAAAATATTTTTTTTATAAACCAACAAACCGCGAAGTTGTAATTGGCGCAGTCGGTAGGATCCGCGTGTGAACATAATCTCTTAGAGCTAATAAATTAGTTCCAGATTAATAAAGCGCAGCTCGTGGCGAACAAAGTTTCGTTTGTGCTTCAGTTTATACAAAGCAGATCCGCAAAAGAATCTATGTGACAAAATATTTGTGACAAGTTATCTAACTCTCGATGTTGGATACTATTAATACAAATTAAAAACTGCAAGTGACCATTAAAGCGTGACCCTTCAAAATAAATTAAAGGTGTGATTGTTACCAGGTCAGTGTTGTGTAGCCCATCTAACATTGATTGGACCGCTACGAAGGTGTGTGAATTTTTAAAAATTAAAAAAGTAATAAAACCCCAGTATCAATCTACCGAGTGAGTTAAAGTAAAAATCAACAAAAGCAAAAAACATGGCACAACCCAGTGAACAACTTATGATTCTATCCGAGCTACATTTAAATCAGGCTTTGGGCCAGATTCGCCACATCCCAACATTTGACGGTTCCACAAGAGAACTGGCATCATTTGTGAGACGTGTGGACTTCGTGATGTCCCTATACCCGACAACAGACAAGAGGCAACATAGTGTACTCTACAGTGCCATCGAGATGCAGCTGCCCCGACACGCACAAGAAGTGTCCCAGCTACAACAGTGCAACACTTGGGCTGAACTGCGATCAGTCCTCATTGATGAATTCAAAACCCAAATCCCATACGAAGAGCTGCTAAGAAGACTTTACAACACATACTGGAGTGGTAGTATTCGTAAGTTTGTAGAAGAACTAGAAAAAAAGATGTTCGAAATTTCAAGTAAATTATCACTAGAAAATAATTATACAAATACAACTCTTTATACCGCCGCAATGGCTAATACTATAAAAGATGTAATTTATAAAAGAATTCCAGACAGAATGTTCATGACTTTAGCAAGATACGATATTACAACATTATTAAGACAAGTAGCGCAAAGGGAAGGCCTTTACGATACAATTGTATCAAATACAGAAAAAGTTAAAGCTAAATCAAACAGTCCATCTACATCACAAAGCAGTAGTAAAAATAATGAATCTCAAAAGAACAAGGGAAATAATAATGACCAAGGTACAAAACCTTATTATATTCAAACACAGCAAAATCAAAATCAAAATAATTATGCAAGTAATAATTCAAAAAGGGTTGAAAATAACCAAGCAACATACAGCGAGTTCAAACAAAAGTTAGACCAGGGTAGAGCGCAAAACGCTCTAAATTATCAAAAACCCATATCTTATTCTACTACTAACCAACCCCAAAAAAGGCAGCGTGAAAGTTCCAGTGGTCAGTCTAAAATGGACACCAGTGAAAATTTTCATCAACTTGCCTCGGGATCGGAATCTGAAGTAGAAGAAGAAGAACCTACCCATTATATACAAATAACTATGAACGATATCAAACTCAAATGTTTGATTGACACAGGTTCATCAATAAATTTGATGAGAACAAATTTTTTCAATTGTCCGATTAACTCAAAAGCTCCATTGGATGTACACACAATAAACAGTCAAATTATTTTAAAATCAAAAATTTCATTAAAACCTAGTAAGCTATGTCCGACAAAGCAAACATTTTATTTACATAAATTCTCAGAAAAATACGACATTTTGTTAGGCAGGGAATATTTGGAAGATTCCAAAGCAATTATATGCTATACATCCAATACAGTCACTTTAAATAAATACACATTTAAATTGCTACTTGAAGATATTAATGAAGAAGAAGAAACACCTAAAGAGAGTTTAAAAGAAAACCTATTAGCTTCTCTAAATATTGAGTATGTCAATTATGTAATTGACAACGAACTCAATGAAACAAATGAATTTCGACTTGATCATCTAAACGATGAAGAGAGGAAAGCCCTCACCAGTGTCTTATACGAGTTTAGTGACATACAGTACAAAGAAGGTGAAAATTTGACCTTCACAAGTACAATTAAGCATGTCATAACAACTAAACACGAAGACCCAATTTACAGACGTCCATACAAATACCCACAAAGCTTCGACGAAGAAGTCGAAAACCAAATGAAAGACATGATGCAACAAGGCATCATAAGAAAATCGAATTCTCCGTATTGCTCTCCGGTTTGGGTAGTACCCAAAAAGCCAGATGCATCGGGAAAATCGAAATTTCCCATAGTCATTGACTATCGCAACCTCAACGAAATAACCGTTGATGACAAATACCCAATACCGGTAATGGATGAAATATTGGACAAGCTTGGAAATTGCCAATACTTTACAACCATTGACCTCGCAAAAGGTTTTCATCAAATACAAATGGATGAAAATTCCATTGCGAAGACAGCTTTTTCCACCAATTCATTTTGAATATACTCGAATGCCATTTGGTTTAAAAAATGCACCCGCAACTTTTCAACGTTGCATGAATAATCTCTTAGCAGATTTAATATACAAAAACTGTCTCGTATATATGGATGACATAATTGTGTATTCCACTTCATTGGAAGAGCTCATAATGTCTTTGCGAAAGGTATTCTTAAAGCTCAGAGAAGCAAATTTAAAATTACAGCTAGACAAATGCGAATTCCTAAAAAAAGAAACTGAATTCCTAGGGCATATAATTACAACAGATGGTATTAAACCAAATCCCACAAAAATTAAAGCCGTAGTGAATTTCCCTATACCAAAGTCCACTAAGGAAATAAAATCATTTCTTGGTCTTTGCGGTTTTTACCGAAAATTTATTCCAAACTTCGCTAAAATAGCAAAACCAATGAAATTACGACTAAAAAAAGGCTCAATAATAAATATCAAAGACTCAGACTATTACTTAGCTTTTGAAAAACTAAAAGTGTTAATAACGTCCGATCCCATATTAATACACCCAGATTTTAAAAAGTCTTTTTCACTAACTACTGATGCCAGCAATTTTGCTATAGGCGCGGTATTATCGCAAGAGCATAAACCTATATGTTATGCGAGCAGAACTCTGAACGAACATGAAATTAATTATTCCGCAATAGAAAAGGAACTCCTTGCTATTGTTTGGGCCACTAAATATTTCAGGTCCTATTTATTTGGTAGAAAATTCGAGATCTACAGTGATCACAGGCCATTGGTTTGGCTTGATTCAATTAAAGAGCCAAACATGAAACTTCAGAGATGGAAAATCAAATTAAATGAATTTGATTACCATATCAAATATCTCCCTGGTAAAGAAAACCATGTAGCAGATGCTCTATCAAGAGTAAAAATTGAAGAAAACTTCCTAGGAGAAACCTCCAGTAATATTTCGTTACCAACACAAGCTACTATTCAAAGTGCTCAAGAAGATAACCAATCTTATATTTCCTTAACGGAGAGGCCAATTAATTACTACAACAGGCAGATAGAATTTATAAAAGAGGATAATAATACCGTAGAAACTAAAGGATACTTTCATAAAACAAAAATTAAAATTCATTACATAGAAATGACAAATGTCCATGCCAAAGAATTAATTAAAGAATATTTTTGTACTAAAAGAAGCGTAATTTTCTTTCATAACGAAGCAGACTTCCTTACATTTCAAAACGCTTACATAGAAATTGTCAGTCCGAATAACATAACTAAAGTTATGAAATCAAACATAAAATTAAAAGATATTGAAACATATTCAGAATTTAAAGAAATAATTATAAAAAGCCACAGAGAACTTTTACACCCAGGAATAGAGAAACAAACTAACCTTTTCAAAGAAAAATATTATTACCCAGACTACCAAAAGTTAATACAGAACATTATTAATGAATGCGAAGTATGTAACATATCCAAAACAGAACATAGAGATACTAAACTAAACTATGTTAACACCAGAAACTTTTAATCCCAGAGGAAAATATGTTATCGATTTTTATTTAATCAATAATAAAACATTCCTGTCATGCATTGACATTTATTCCAAATATGCCGCCTTGATTGAAGTTAGCAGTAGAGACTGACTGGAAGCGAAAAGAGCTCTCCTTAAAATTTTCAATGAAATGGGAAAACCGTCCGAAATAAAGGCCGATAAAGATTCAGCTTTTATATGTTCCGCGTTACACTTATGGCTTAGATCCGAAAATGTGAATATAAATATCACAACAAGTTAAAATGGAATTTCTGACATTGAAAGATTCCATAAAACAGTCAATGAAAAGTTAAGAATCATTAATAGTGAGTCCGACCCAGAAAATAAGATAACACAATTTGAAACTATTCTCTATGTATATAATCATAAAACCAAACATAATACAACTGGTAGAATACCAGCTGATATTTTCATTTATGCAGGAACACCTGCATATGACACCCAAAAGGAGAAACAATCAAAATTAGATAAGTTGAATAAAGATAGACATAGCTATGAAGTAGATACCAGATATAAACAAGCACCATTGGTAAAAAGTAAAACAACTAACCCATTTAAGAAAACAGGGCGTATAGAACAAATAGATGAGAAACATTACGAAGAAACAAATCGAGGAAGAAAAGTTGAACATTATAAATCTAAATTTAAAAAACAAAAGAAAATTAATAACAGTAAATACCATTCCAGCTCAACTCTCGAAAATCAAGAGGAGTCCGATTAAACAGTTATTCATAATAACATTTATAATATGTTTCGTCCGTGCCGTCCGTGTTCAAAGCCTAGAGGTGAACCCAATACAAGCTAAAAATGGATATCTTATATTTAAAACAGGATCAATTAATATACCTATAAACTATGAATATCACTATTTGTCCGTAAACTTAACAAAAACCGAACAAACTTTTGCGAATTTAATTAAACAAGCTGAAGAATATGGTACTATACCCCAAATCCAATATTTAACTGAAAAATTAGACAGAGAGATGAATGGAATAAGAATAATAAAACGTAATAAACGTGGTTTAATTAATATTATAGGTACCGCATATAAATACCTTTTTGGCACTTTAGATCAAAATGACAAAGAAGAATTAGAACAAAAAATAAACGATCTTTCTCAACATAGTATTCAAATTAATGAATTGAATGAAGTAATAGAAGTAGTCAATAGAGGCATTGAAGTAATCAACCATTTAAGCGCAATAAGTGAAGGTGACAGAAGATTAGAACTTTTAATATTTAATTTACAACACTTTACCGAATACATTGAAGATATAGAACTTGGTATGCAGTTAACAAGACTTGGTATTTTTAATCCCAAATTATTAAAACATTATCCATTATCACATGTAAATTCCGAAAAATTGCTAAATATAAAAACTTCTACGTGGTTAAAATCAGATGCAAATGAAATACTTATTATTTCCCATATTCCAGACGAAGATAATAATATACTTATAGAAAATGTAAATGATAAATATTATATTCAAGATAATCAAGTTTATAAACAAAACTCAAGAAAACCAATAATAAACAAATGTATTACAGGAATATTAGATCAAATACCAACAGATGTAGATATTCAAAAACACATAACAATATTGGAATAACTTATGTAGAACCAAACATAATTTTAACTTGGAAATTATCAAAAATTGTATTAAATCAAAACTGTATAACTAATAGAGAAATTATAATAGAAGGAGACAATATAATAAAAGCTTTTAATTGTTCTGTTCAAATAGAAAACATATTAATCACAAGCACAACACTAGACTACACACAAACGGTCTATATCAATAACAATGTAACAAAGTTAGAAACATTATCATATCTACACGCTAAAGAAATAATTAAAGAACACACTAATACATACAACACATTACAAATTGTTACATTAACTATACTTGCTATTATAATACTTGCACTTATACTATATTTTATTTATAAATATAAAGGCATTCCAAAAAATTAATTGTTAAGTATAAAAAAGAGAATTCAGAACAAATAAAACAACAAAATAGTATAACAACAGAAAATATAAATACAGTACTTGATACTAATCCTGTATTGTATCCTAGAATATCCGCCTGAGGACAGGCTAAATTTTAAGGGTGGGGTAGTGACATATGTAATGCTCAACCACACAACATATATCTACAACATATACCAGCCACTTTATATATTCTCTTACTTAGCAACAATAGAACATAGAACCAAGAATGCCTTAGCACATAAGAACCCCAACTTCTTGGTGACAATAACAAATTCGGCCGATGTAAACAATTTAACATAAACATCCGCAGTCTTATTCGTTATTCCCACTAGAAGGGTGAAAACTACTTACACAGCTTAAAGGGTGAAAACTTTCCACGTAGCTCAAACTCGGCCGATCTGTATCCATGCGTAATCCACTCAAGAGAGCGCCTAATTAACGTAAACATAAATGAGAGCCCATGTACGCTCAATATGAAGAAGTAAATAAGCTCAGCCAAGGGTTTGCTAAGCGTTCGCTTTGCAAATTAGATTTAGATTTTATTCATACTTCAATTGTATAAGACGTGAATTTGTCTCCGACGTTCGCTTAAGTTTTTGATTAATAAAAATATTTTTTTTATAAACCAACAAACCGCGAAGTTGTAATTATATACGTATTATATACGTATATTCTTGATCAGGATCAATAGCCGAGTCGATCTGGCCATGTCCGTCTGTCTGTCCGTCCGTATGAACATCGAGATCTCAGCAACTACAACTAGCAAAAAAATGTTTAGCTTTATTTATTTTATTCTTTTTTTCCCCAATTACTACAGATATTCCAGTTTCAAATTTTATATTTTCAAACGATATAAATCTATTTTGATAGAATTATTTCTAATTTCAGATTCATCGAATTCTACGAATAATTTCATCAAGCGTTATGAGGTGAATTTATTTCGAACTACAATTACATGACTTCTGGACGTATACTTCAGATCATAAAAAAAAACAGAAGTACTTTTAACTTTTTTATACACCGCAAGCACACCAAAATTTTAAAAAGCTTAATAGTGTTGTTATGTTTTGGGTTTTTTTTATCGAAATCTGATTTTATCTCATAAACATATTTTTTAATAAACGCGTACGCTTCTTAGCAAGGATCTGGATATTTTAGGCCGTAACAGTTGAAAATTTTAAAACAAGAGTCGAGATTTAGAAAAAACGAGTCAAATATAAGTAAAAGCCGTCTCCATCCGTATCTAAAGAATCGTGAGCAATGACGAAAGGTTGAATTATAGATCGCTCGGAATAATCAAAATGCATCACCATGATATTCTGCTACAGTGACCTTCTTAGTTAGATTTAGTGTCGGTGGCAGCACGGCATTTAGCAAAATAACAAATAAGAAATCCTGGGCATCTACAAGAAGAGACAGACAAATATAACAATTAGTAAATATAAATGTTGTATTAATTATATAAACATAATTTATTGCCTACTTCCCCTCGGTAAGCTGTTGCCTGCTGAGATGGTTTTTAATTTTATTATCGTAGAATGGAAACACTCTTTGCTTCAGTTCGTTCCATTTGAAAACTAGTGCATGCTCTTTCTCTGGGTATCTTTCTCGGCAGTTGATGTTTATCTGTAAATATTACACAATAATTTACAAATTGACAAAATTAAGTTAATTTTATACGAAAAAATTGGTATATAATTGGTATATAAATCCGAAGCACTTACATAATTGACGTAGATCTTTGGCGAATATGGAAAGTTTGTTTCCAGATGGTTTCGTCTACTTCACTACACACACGTATGCTTTTGGATGCCAGTTCTTCTACTTTTTGAAATATGATCTTTGGATAATTGGTAGCGCTTGTTTTTGTATTGCGACTAAAGCTTTCCTGTCGGATTCTTGCACTTCGTCGGTTTTATTTAAAAAGAGTCCTTAAAATAATAAAAAGAGTTAAATATAATTTTAAAAAAGTAATAAAAAAAAAAGCAATTATTGATGGCTCCCTCCTTTAAAAGCCAAATACGGCATACTTCCAAAAGGGTCTTAATTTTTAGCAAAATCTTTCCGTGTTTCTATTCTAATAATAATGAGTAATTACTCTGAAAAAATTATATTTTAAATTATACCTTACATAGAGAAAAATTTACGTAATAAATACCTTGTTTAGTATAAAGTTGTTGTCAGGTTAACCTTTTGAATGCTGACGGAAAGTTTCTCACAGTTCTAAACAAAAAATCTAAGGTAATTCTGTACTATGAATTGTTAAAAAAATAGTCCTAATTTTTTTTGATTCCATGCACCTAGTGCTCTATTAAAATCGCCTTTTCAGTTCGTGGTCCGTAATGGTTTCGAGTAAAGACAGAGTCAGGACAAAGACAATGTAATATTATTCTAGTGTCTTTGGTCAGAGCTTCTAAACAAAAAATTAACTAGAAGAGACTCATACATACATATGAACTTGTTTTTGCCTATGTGAAAGAAATTTATTTAAAAAGAAGTAAAAAATGGAGAACAAACGGTGTGCTATGACCTTCAAACAATATTTAAAAATTAAAAACTAAAAAAGGGCATGCACAAATTAATTTCTTGTTCATTGTTTATATTATTTGGAAATTTTAATGGATAGTTAATATTCAACTAATGAGTAATACAATTGCAAAAATGCACATACATACATATAGTAGCATATGTACCATAGTATAACACTTTGTCACACACACACACCACACACACACAGTACATATGTACCACTTGATCACACCCACCCAATCCATTTTCCCAGAAACACACTTCAACTTACAAACCCCAACACATAAGTCAGATCCCAAGCTCTTGGCGACAATAAAAATTTCGGCCGCGTTAACATAAACAATTGATTCATAGACATAAACATCCGCCGATGCCGAAATTCGTTATTCCCACTAAGCAACCAAATAGCTTACGCAGCACAAATCCTGGTAATTTTCCATGCGCAACTCTCTTAAAGAGCGCAACCCATTTGAATAAAGAGGAGAGCCTTCAAGTTCATATAAACAAAGTCGACCAAGGGTTTGGTAAGCGTTCAACTCACACTCCAGATTTAGTTCTATTTCATCCACTATACCATTAAGACGTGAATTGACTCCGATTCAAAGTTGTATTATTATCTTGAAATAAAAACTTATATTTCTTTTCAAAACTTGCAACCGCGAACTCGTTATTGGCGCAGTCGAGCTCGTTCATAAGAAGAATAGAGTTCATACTTCAACTATATCCATCAACTGACGTCCGTCAGTTACACGTCCTCTTCAGTGCAATCGAAATGCAAATTGGAGGTGACGCCCAACGAGTATCCCAGCTCAGTGCAGCTAATACATGGCCGGAATTGAAGGAAGCCCTAATCGCCGAGTTCAAGACCCAGACACCATTTGAAGAGCTTTTGAGACGACTATATAACACACAATTCAATGGATCAGTTCGTAACTTCATAGAAGAGCTTGAAGCAAAATGCTTTGTAATAACAAATAAGCTAGCTTTAGAAAATAATGATCTACATAACCATATTTATACAAACGCAATGAACAATACAGTAAAAAATGTAATTATTAAAAAACTCCCAGATAGACTCTACATGCAATTAGCCAGATTTGACATAACAACAGCCAGTAAATTAAAGCAAATTGTACAGCAGGAGGGTTGTTATGACAGTTCATGGTCCGATCACCCAAAATCCCAAAATACTCAAAATACCCAAAATAAAAATCAGTACAGCCCAAACTATAACACTCCAAATAATCAAAATAGAAATCAAAATTATAATCAAACATCAATTAGCCAAAATAAAAACCAATATATGAACAAAAACAATAACAGCCATGACCAGCCTTTCGAATACCTATTCCAAGAATTTAAGCAAAAACTCAACCAAGCACAGACACAAAATCCTTTAAATTATTCCTCCAACTATCAACAAAATCCAGTTTCTTCAACCGCTCCGAATCCGGCAACAAAAAGGCAAAGACCTAGTACCAGCGGCCATTAAAAAATGGATACGTCCGAAAATTTTCATCTACATGCCTCAGACGAAGAAGAAGACACAATTCCTTCATAAATATTGTTTTAAACAATATACCGCTCCGATGTGTTATAGACACTGGGTCTACAATAAACATCATAAGAGCAAACATTTTTAATTTCCCAGTTAAAACTACTAATTTACAAACACACACCATTAACGGTACAATAACCCTAAAGAAAATCATAATTCTAAAACCAAGTAATCTTTGCAAGAACAGCATAACGCAACGACAAAGATGCAGGCAAGAGTAACCGTCGACTTACTATTGAATTTCTTGAATGCATTGCTCTTAGCAAAATTTCAGGCAAATACCGTGTCACCTACATTCAGCTTCGACTTCACAGATTGTACCGCTGAGCGTTGGTCTTGGCTATCGTCTTGTCGAGCTAACTGTAAAATATATGGATATTTTAAGCATATATCGTCTGCCAGGGTGTCGATCTTGCGAAGTAGTTCGTAATATTTTCCGTTCAAAATCATATTCTGCAAAGATAATAAGGTAAGAAACCGGTGCTACGGTGAAAGTTAGCCCTCAAAGATCTGCATATTTCGCTTAAATGTTGATCCCAATTCGTATGATCTTGCCTTACGCATGCGCGCACTGCTGCCAACACCAAATAAGCCGTTCGCTCGCGTTAGCCTGAGGAGAGTCGATCGCCTTATAGATATGTGAAACGCCGAAACGTGTGAGAGAAGCCCTAATCTGCGAACCGTTGTCCGTTAAGATCGCCAAATACATGCTTCATTAGGAAATCTAGGATTTTTTTAGACGTAAACAGATGTGCAGACGTGCAACAGATGAGGCTTGGAAAGGTGATCGACTATGATTAATAACCCGATGTTTCCCTCCTTAGACTAAGGATACGGTCCTAATAAGTCCATGTACAATTTTTGAAATTTTTGAAATGTCCGTCATTGGCCTACCAATTGGTGGCCTAAGAATTACGTTAGCACCTTAAGTGGCTTAACACGTTGTACATCTAGATATGTACGAACGGATTAGATTGATCTTACCTGTCTAAAAAAAGTACTGCTTAAGATTCCAGCCTTCCCAAGCGAGCTGAGTCAGCTGGATACTGTGCTCGTTGTAGAACGGTATCTCTAAGTCGAAGGCACCCACAGTTTCCATGATGCATTATCTAAACCTTTCTCTTCTTCAGTTCGCGCAAGTCTAGACATCACCGAGTCTTTTCCCAATTTTTTTCCAATTTTTTCCAACACGAAATTACTACTCCATGAACTTCTCGACTCTTCGATGACGTCTATCGCGAGTATATTATCGATTTCCAAAAAATCGCCTTTTCTTTCTCTGGTGACACCGGCCAGTACCTGTGCTTGACTGATCTATGCTGTGCTCCATAATACGCGCAAGTCCTAAACCTTCTTTTCCGTATGTGTATGTGTAATTGTATTTTGCTGATCGGTAGATAATTCGTGGTTCTTGGTCGTAATGTCAGTCTCTTCGCGCCCTACGTCTAACTCTCACACTGGACCGAGCTATCAGTAAGTTTGCTGAGTAAGCCGAACTTGTTCTAGAAATTGATACCTAAGTAAATATCCTGTTTTATATCAGGAATGATAAAGAACTCTACGGCATTTTTTTGATTGCGATTTCTAATTCCTACGATTAATCTCCCATTGACCGAACATTCTGAGTTATTCGCGCTTATATGTCCCGAACAATTACGTAATTGAGGATGATTACTCAACGTATTTGCTGCGTTGCCTCCTATGCAACTTGCTGAAGCGCCTGAGTCTAATAACGCGACGTATGACTGATCATCAATTACAATATCCGTATAGCGACGTGTCCCTTGTTTGGTAAAACTTTCTCCTAAGTCGTTCGCTGTAAAACGTTGCATACAAAATCTTTCTTCTATGTCTAAACTAAAATGTATTTCTTTGGATGGCAATCAAGAATAAATTCCGCGAGACTTTTGGCTATATATCCGCCGATCTACAAGATCGGGCCCCACGTTGGGCTTCATTTCTTATTTAATGCTATTATTATATAGCGTTCAACTTCGCCCTGAAAGGATTTGAGGGTGTCAGTCGGTATACTGTATGTAGAGGTCGTGCACTTCTAGCGATGCTCTGCGCTATGCTCGTCGGGATTAGCGTGGCTTTTTTTCTACCTTAGCTATGCCCTAACATGCATTAAAAAAATAAGTGCACTACTGAAACTAATATGGTGGACTGATATAAATCGCGATAGGCTATACCCACAAATGAGGGAAAATCTGGATTAACAAATCTTCGTCCAGTCAGGCGTTAGGGGAACTTGGATGTTATGCGCCTCCCTATCTATACCCACCCTTCTTGGTAGCAGGTGTATGTTTTCTAATAGCTACCCCTTGTTTAATGATAAATAAGTTTTATCGAAACGATTAATAATGAAATGCTAGGCCATTATTTCTTTACGTTATAATTTGACTTCATTGTTTCCGTTTTATTTCTCTAATTAGACTTAACGTAAATTTCTTCATTTAGACTTATAATATAGTAGTGAATTTAATGAAAACTACGTCGTTAGATCGAATAATGATCAAAATATAAAAATACAAGCTTAGATCTACTCAAAAAAAACTTATGTGTTCATTTCAAGTGTTATCAAAACTAAGACTAAAAAACCAACAAGATAGAATGCTATAGTCGAGTTCCCCGACTATCAGATACGCACTGCAAACGAGAAATTTCAAAATTTTCAGGAATTTCGATAGAAATTGGAAATATAATAATAAAAGTGTGGGCGTGACAGTCTTGGGTGGTTTGTGGGCTTTAGAGTGGTTGTGGCAAAAAGTTTCTTGCAAATCTATAGAAATTTACAAAATATATAAAAAAAATATCACAACATTTTTCAAAAGTGTTCTCAACAATCTAGCTTTTGTAATTCCTGAGATCGAGGCGTTCATACGGACAGAAAATTTGAAAATTTGTATTGGTTCTAGTATATTTACACTGAGTCTGTTCCTGTTTTATTAATCCAATTGTCAAATATTAATTTCTCTGTATCCTTATGGTATACTTGATTATTAACAAGTTAGAATGCTATAGTCGAGTTCCCCGACTATCAGATACCGGTTACTGAGTTAGTGGAAGTAAGAAAGAGAAATTTCATTTCGCAGTGACTTCGTTTGGAACATGGGAAATAATTAAAATTTTATTCGTATCTGTTTTAAGCCAAGTTGATTTTTTATTTTTAACATTTTCTCCGAGTTTACGTTTTTCCAAGTAATCATGTTTTAACAATTTCGGGTTAAAGATCTCCAGCCAAGACATACCATATTCGATATCCTGTATATATTCTGTGAATTGTTGTTAAATAAATATCAATATCGCCAGTCTTTGACTTTGAGTTTGTTAATAATGTCTATTCCGCTGTTGATTACGACTATAACCATGTTAGTATGTGACATCGCTTAGTTTTCTTCGGATGGTCTGGTATATCGTATTTACTCTTACTAATTTTCTTCTGTTTTTTAAATTTTGACTTATAGTGTACGATTTTCCTACCGCGATTTGACTTTTCAAAATGTTTTTCATCCAATTTTTCAATCCGTCCTGTTTTCTTGAATGGATTAGTTACTTTGATCTTTACTATTGGAGTTTGTCTATATTTCGTGTCAATTGATAAATCATGCACGCAATGCATGATAGAAATATTTGGTTTCCGGTGAAATAGAAGTCTATATCTATAGAATATCTCCGAAGTTTCTGTGCTTTGTTTTCGCTATATTACATATTTCACACTCATTAATGATGTTCTAGATAAATTTTTGTCTATCTGGGAAATAGTATTCCTTTATTTATTTATTTCATTGCCCGGAAGATATTTAATTTTGTAATCAAATTCATTCAATATTATTTTCCATCTTTGTAACTTTATATTTGCTTCTTTAATATTATTAAGCCACACCAAAGATTTGTTATCACTCAGTATTTCAAATGGTCTACACAACAAATATCACCTGAAATATTTCGTTGCCCATACAATAACTAACACTTCTTTCTCGAATGTAGCATAATTAGTCTCATGCTCATTCAGCGTTCTGCTGTCGTAACAAACATCTTGGGATAACACAGCACCAATAGCTAAATTACTTGCATCACTTGCATTACTTGAGAAATCTTGAAATATTTTAAGAAATGACTCAACTTAATCTTTAAATTTGGTATCTTCAGTTTAAGGATCATAAGTTTAACTACCTTTGAAAAGTTAGGAATGAATTAGCGGTAGAACCCACATAATCCCAAAAATGATTTTATTTGTTTTGGTTTCTTAGGTAATGGAAAATTCGTAATTGTGTTACGTTTATTTGGATTGGGTTTGATGCCATTTGTGGATACAATGTGTTCCAGGAATTCAGTTTCCTTCTTCATGAACTCACATTTATCTAGCTGCAGTTTTAAGTTAGCATCCCTCAGTTTCCCAAAGACTTTCCTTAGAATAGAATGTGGTCCTCCAATGAAGTGAGTAAATTATAATATCATGCAGGTATACTAAGCAGTCTTTGTAAATCAAATCTTCTAGAAGATTGTTAATACATCTTTGAAATGTTGCAAGGACATTTTTCAGACTAAAAGGCATGCGTGTATATTGGTAGTGCCCATTTTAAGTTGAATGGGCGGTTTTCGCAATGGAATTTTTATCAATCTGAATTTGGTGAAAACCCTTGGCTAGATCAATCTTTGTAAAATATTGGCATAGTCCGAGTATATCCAATATTTCTTCCATTCTAGGAATGGGGAATTTGTCGTTGACAGTTACTTCATTGATATTCCTGTAATCCACTACCAACCTAAACTTTTGCTTCCCAGAGGCCTTCTTGGGGAAGGGGAGAATTGGGAGAACAATAAGGTGACTTCGATTTGGGAATTATACCTTGTTCTATCTTTTCATTAATTTGCGTGTTGACCAGCTGATCAATGCTTTGGGGGTATTTATAAGGTTTACGGTAAACTGGATCTTCATGCTGAGTCTGGATGTTTAATAATAATTGTGAAGGCAAAATTTTCTGCTTCCTTGACCTGAATGTCTCTATATTCGTATAGGACCTTCTTTAAACATTCAACCTTGAACCTCTACATTTAGATGTTCGAGTCTGTACTCGATACACTCGCGTAATTCATTATTTATCGCGAAGCGTCCTCGTCGTCCTCAACGGACTTGGGATCAAAGTGCTTTGCATCATTGTCTACTGTGTCAATTTTTGCTTTCGGAGTGAGGCATTTTGCTGATGCGGGCTCCTCCTTCTGTTGATTTAGTTTAAGCTTTGGTTTAAGGCACTTTGCAGGTGCGGTCTTAACCTGCTGTTTCGGATCGAATTGTTTCACTGGTGCGGATTCGTCCTTTTGCTTTAGGTCAAGGCATTTTGTTGATGCGGCCTCGCCTTTTTTCTCGAACCTTTAGTAACAGTTTCCTTCTCGTAATCAATGTACGCGTTCGTTTCTTCGAGATATTTTTGACCTAACAGGATATCATAAGTATCGGAAAATTTGTGAACATAGAACTATTGTGCAGACGGCGATATTGAAGTGGGCTTGATCATAATACTTTTTTAAAATTTGATTGGCCTGCAAAATGTTCCTTTATTATGTTGATAGAGCAACCTGTGTCGATCATAATTGTTATGATAGCTTAATAGATATCTTAATGGACTGGTTCGTTCTCCCACGTTTCTGGTGTGTCCAAGGCAGTCTGATGAATATTTACGTCTATCCTGCTTTGCCCTCTCTGACTTGCTCGCTGTCTTTTTGCCATTCACATTATTTGAGGTTGAAGGTTGAAAATTGAGGGGATCGTTTTGTCTACATAGAGATAAATGCCTTCTAAAGGTGTAATAATTTCCCCACTGACTAAAAGCTATGGGACGATTCGAATACTGCTTAGTCATAACTTAATAACTGGTTTTCAATTTTTCTTTAAGCTTTCTAATGCTACCAGGGTATGTTGTTTCCTCCAGTTGTCTCACTAGGGTCACGTATGGCCTGTATGGTTTTTATATCTATCCATGTTTGCTCTCGCTTGGATTAGAGGTCTCACTGCTCCGTATAATACGTGTGCCTGCCGGTTGCTCGACCTGGTTGAAAAATCCGGGCAATTTGCAAGGTGTGCCGTCGTAGTAATGCGATTCTTTAATCTGACCCAGTAATTGATTCAAGTGGAACTCAGAAGGTTGTGAAACTACTACGTTGTAGTTTCATTTCTTGATGTACAGAGTTTAAAATGTTATTTGGTTGTAAACCGTGGGCTTAAACACGGAATTAAAAATTTTAATAAAATTTGTTTCCGACCGCACGGGATGTTTCTTAGTTAATTTTTAGAGTTTATTTGGCCACAATGGATTTTTTTAGTTATGAAAATCTACACGCACGAAGATTCTTTTGCGGATCTGACGTTCAAGCCTCGTTCTCGAACTTTTCGATTATGGACTTTGAATTTAAGAGTTTAGAGGCAGCTTTGGAGGTTTTGACTTTGTTTGTCTTG